TACCCATCTCACCTCTACCCATCTCACCTCTACCCATCTCCCTTCTACCCATCTCACCTCTACCCATCCCACCTCTAATCTCACCTCTACCCATCCCACCTCTACCCATCTAACCTCTACAAATCTCACCTCTACCCATCTCACCTCTACCTATCTCACCTCTACAAATCTCACCTCTACCCATCTCACCTCTAATCTCACCTCTACCCATCTCACCTCTACCCATCTCACCTCTACCCATCTCACCTCTACCCATCTCACCTCTAATCTCACCTCTACCCATCTCACCTCTAATCTCACCTCTACCCATCTCACCTCTACCCATCTCAACCCTACTCATCTCGCCTCTACCATCTCAACTCTACCAATCTCACGTCTACCTATCTCACCTCTACCCATCTCAACCCTACTCATCTCACCTCTACCATCTCACGTCTACCCATCTCACCTCTACCCATCTCACCTCTACCCATCTCACCTCTACCCATCTCACCTCTACCCATCTCACCTCTACCCATCTCAACCCTACTCATCTCACCTCTACCCATCTCACCTCTACCCATCTCACCTCTACCCATCTCACCTCTACTCATCTCACCTCTACCCATCTCACCTCTACCATCTTACTTCTACCCATCCCACCTCTAATCTCATCTCACCTCTACAAACTCACCTCTACAAATCTCACCTCTACTCATCTCACCTCTACCCATCTCACCTCTACTCATCTCACCTCTACCCATCTCACCTCTACCCATCTCACCTCTAATCTCACCTCTACCCATCTCACCTCTACCCATCTCACCTCTAATCTCACCTCTACCCATCTCACCTCTACCCATCTCACCTCTACCCATCTCACCTCTACTCATCTCACCTCTACCCATCTCACCTCTACCCATCTCACCTCTACCCATCTCACCTCTACCCATCTCACCTCTAATCTCACCTCTACCCATCTCACCTCTACCCATCACACCTCTACTCATCTCACCTCTACCCATCTCACCTCTACTCATCCCACCTCTACCCATCTCACCTCTACCCATCTCACCTCTACTCATCCCACCTCTACCCATCTCACCTCTACCCATCTCACCTCTACTCATCTCACCTCTACAAATCTCACCTCTACCCATCTCACCTCTACCCATCTCACCTCTACCTATCTCACCTCTACCCATCTCACCTCTACCCATCTCGCCTCTACCCATCTCGCCTCTACCCATCTCACCTCTACCCATCTCACCTCTACCCATCTCACCTCTACCCATCTCACCTCTACCCATTTCACCTCTACCCATCTCACGTCTACCCATCTCACCTCTACCCATCTCACCTCTATCCATCTCACCTCTACCCATCTCACCTCTACCCATCTCACCTCTACCCATCTCACCTCTACCCATCTCACCTCTACCCATCTCACCTCTACCCATCTCACCTCTACCCATCTCACCTCTACCCATCTCACCTCTACCCATCTCACCTCTACCCATCTCACCTCTACTCATCTCACCTCTACCTATCTCACCTCTACCCAACTCACTTCTACCCATCTCACCTCTACCCATCTCACCTCTACCCATCTCACCTCTACCCATCTCACCTCTACCCATCTCACCTCTACCCATCTCACCTCTACCCATCTCACCTCTACCCATCTCACCTCTAATCTCACCTCTACCCATCTCACCTCTACCCATCTCACCTCTACCCATCTCATCCCGACTCATCTCACCTACCCATCTCACCTCTACCCATCTCACCTCTACCCATCTCACCTCTACCCATCTCACCTCTACCCATCTCACCTCTACCCATCTCACCTCTACCCATCTCACCTCTAATCTCACCTCTACCTATCTCACCTCTACAAATCTCACCTCTACAAATCTCACCTCTACTAATCTCTCCTCTACCCATCTCACCTCTACCCATCTCACCTCTACCCATCTCACCTCTACCCATCTCACCTCTACCCATCTCACCTCTACCCATCTCACCTCTACCCATCTCACCTCTAATCTCACCTCTACCCATCTCACCTCTACAAATCTCACCTCTACTAATCTCTCCTCTACCCATCTCACCTCTACCCATCTCACCTCTACCCATCTCACCTCTAATCTCACCTCTACCCATCTCACCTCTACCCATCTCACCTCTACCCATCTTACTCCACTCCTAACCCCCGATGAATTACCTTGTATCGGTTACCCCTGGCAATATTCCCTCATGGTAACTACCTTTTTTGGGAATGGACCTCTAGATGATAAATTGGTATTCTTTAATATCCCTAGAAAATATTCTAGCCCTATTCCTCGGCCTAGACTTAACATAAGCCCTAGCCCTAATCCTAGCCCTATCCTTGCCCTAGCCCTATCCTAGCCCTAGCCTTAGTCGTAGCCCTGGCCCTAGCCTTGACCTTAAAATTTCTACTGTTAATGTTGACTGGGCGATCGGGGACATTGAACTTGGTATAAATTGGTGGGGGGGGGGGTGAGGTGGCATTTGATTACTTTACAGCTCCTTTCACACACCCTTCCCCCCCCCACATTTTATATAGAAAATGTATACTTTTAACCACCCGCCCCCTGAAAAATTTAGTCCGCCCCCTCCCCCAGGTTTCAAGTGCCCCCACATCCGTGAGAAAAAAGAGAAACACTTCCCCCCTCCCCCTGCCTCCATTACCCCCTCCCCCCCTGCCTCCACTACCTGAGCCATTTGAAAGCATTTGTCAGTACAAGTCTAAGCTTTAAATAAAATGTGCTCCATGAATGAAGATTGAACTTTCTTTCATTGTATTGACCTCTAACCTATTGATTCGTTAGAAATTTGCTTAATCACGAGGACTGAAATATTGATTTCCAATCTTGATTTTACACATTTCTAAATCATCGACCATTTAGTACTTTTCCAGCCACCATAACTTTACTTAAGAAAATCGTAAATCTTCTAATGTCAATTTAGGATTGCCATGAGCAAAAGACTTGGAAACACTTTGTTTTACAAAGAACTAGCCAACATGTTTTGTGTGATCTTTGCTATGCTATTAGTTTTATGTTACAAGGCGATATGCTCAAATTCAATAAGATGCATTTCAAAAACTAAGGACAATATAAAAAAAGATTAACCTTAGATGTGCAGTAGATCGACCTTAGAGACGGACCGGCTACTGAAACCACAAGACGTCACTGGCAAGTCGCGTGCGCACTTTTTTGTTTTGCAATGGTTGCCACAACAGCCAGTCTTAGTGTAGACCGGAGCCCCCGCCTAGCTTGGGTTGAATGGCCTCACCCTGACGCTGGTTTTACCGTCAGTTCATGGCGGTTGCCTCAGTGCAGGGTACATGCGGCTGTTCTTTTTTATATTTATCTGATCGAAGAAATGTATTGATTACCGTTACGATTTTCCAGTCAGAGAACAAATTGAACGATAGTCCCTGCCAGCATCAGATACACGGGCACCCTTGCTTTCCTCCACTCCCACCTCTGCTCACATTGTTATAGCTTCCCACCATTTTTGTGTGGCATAACTCAGACATCTACAGTTTGACGTCATGGAGCTAGGGTTAGAGCTGTGTGAATGTAGTTGACCTACGTCAGACCAGCCCCACATCTAATCAATCTTATACGGTCCATTCAAACTTCCAATTTTCTTACACGCTCAACATATCTCAGACTAAGATTTCTGGTCGACTCAGTGTGTCACCAACTAAATTTGGTGTCATTGTCTCATTTATTTTGTCATCGTGTCACCGATTTCGACATTCTGTCACCAGCCCCTGTCACTGTGTCACCAACCCTGTCACTGTGTCACCAGCCCACATCGTGTCACCAGCCCTGTCGCCGTGTCACCACATCGTGTCACCAGCCCTGTCACCGTGTCACCAGCCCTGTCACCGTGTCACCAGCCCTGTCACCGTGTCACCAGCTCTGTCACCGTGTCACCACATCGTGTCACCAGCCCTGTCACCGTGTCACCAGCCCTGTCACCGTGTCACCAGCTCTGTCACCGTGTCACCACATCGTGTCACCAGCCTGTCACCGTGTCACCAGCCTGTCACCGTGTCACCAGCCCACATCGTGTCACCAGCCCTGTCACCGTGTCACCAGCCCTGTCACCGTGTCACCAGCTCTGTCACCGTGTCACCACATCGTGTCACCAGCCCTGTCACCGTGTCACCAGCTCTGTCACTGTGTCACCACTTCTGTCACTGTGTCACCAGCCCTGTCACTGTGTCACCACTGAGTGAGTATTCACCTTACAATGTTTGGCTTAGTGAAGTTAATTAGATGAAAATTGATCGATTTTCCTTAACTAATCGAACAGTGGCCCATATAACTGAGAAGCTAACAACTAATTAAATAACCATTTAGAAAGTCTAAACTTTAAATACAAGCTTGAATGTCTTACACAGTGGCACAAATATTACCACATAACACAGTGGCATAAATATTACCACATAACACAGTGGCACAAATATTACCACATAACACAGTGACACATATTGTCACACCACAGTGACACATATTGTCACATCACAGTGACACATATTGTGCTGATGATATGTTTAATGTCATTTCACCAAAGGTTAGCGACATATAAAGGTTTAAAAGTGTGCTAGTGAGAAAAAAAGAAAGAAATTCAATCATTTTTTGTGGTTCATTTAATAACCATTAAGACGTGACTGAAGAAAGACAGGTCTTGGTGCTCGGAGTGGCACCTTTTGACATACCCGAGGCTTCGGCGAGCGTATCACCAGAATGGGTTTATTGACCTGTGTAGAGCGTGCCATGGTGATGACGAAATATTGTCCTTCATTAGCCAGGCAGGGACCTTTCATTGAGAAACATTGATTGGTCCATGCCAGTGGCTCAGGTAAAAAATGCACATAGTCACAAGCCGTCAAATGTTTACCTAAGGTGGGGCACTTTCTAGTTAACATGGGCTACTGAAAAAATTGACGTTCGCTATTTAAGCTGTTGCTAGATGAACAGCGGCAAGTCAATAAATTTTTGTGTCATCGCCTGGATCTTGGCTGAAATATTTCAATCTTGAACTAACCCGGCCTTTGGTACACTTCATAGATTGACAGCAGATGATATTTACTTGTATGGTAACGTTGAGCGATAATTTATTCTAAATTTTGTTTGTTTTAGAACTTAACAATTCCTTTAGAGAAGTAGGTAAAAAATTATGTAAGAAAAAGTGTCACTAAAAAAAGTAGATGTTAAATGGTTTGAGTTTATTTTTTTAAACGCAAGGGTATCACTTTCGGTAAAAAGCTCACTTAATAAAACATTAGTACTAAACTAGACGACGGCTATAGCATTTGCTAGACCGGGAATTAATTAAACATAGTTACTAAACTAGCCGCGCTAGTTGGCGTTGGACGCGCGTTAAATATTGACTATTGACACAGATCACTTATGTAAATGAGCAGATATGGAATTACATTCGAGCTATCTGATGTCACAAAGCTCCACCATGTGGTGTGTATGTTAATTAAATGGCGTCAATTAGGGGTAGGTGTACACCTGGTGCCAGTTGGTGGGGGGGGGGGGGGGTACGGGGGGAGGGGCTCTACACATGCGTCTTTCAAAACTAACTGGTCATTTGGTCTGAGTTCACATGTTGGATGTGTATGTTAGTTCCAGCTGTACACATCGAATACCGTGTTGCCATACGTTTTGAGATCGTGTGCTATTGATTTCTGTGTTGTAAGTTTGTCAAGTTTCCAAGATTGACAAGTTTAGATTTGACACCTTTATATGAACTAAACTTTTAACCTTACGGTAGTGTATCCAAGATATTTTCTTATCTCTTCTCAATTTTTGTGCACACATCTCTAGGGGAGTCAGGGGCTCTCAAACCTTTTTACGACATTACTAGGGGAGCCAGTGGCTCTCAAACCTTTTTTACGACATCTCTAGGGGAGTCAGGGGCTCTCAAACCTTTTTTACGACATCACTAGGGGAGTCAGGGGCTCTCAAACCTTTTCTAAGACACCTCTAGCGGTGTCTAGGGCTCTCAAATCAATTGAGACGTGAAACAATGCAACTCAACCGATACATGTCTTTAGTTCCAGGTGTGTAGTAGAGTGACCTTGACCGTCTAACATCCGGCCGACCAGAATGCACTTCGATGACCTGATGAAACTGCTGGGAGAGTTCGGGCTCTACCAGCGGGTTCGCTTCTTCCTCATCTGTCTCTTCTCCATCGTGTCGGCGTGGCACGCCTTCAACATGGTCTTCATTGGGGCCACGCCCAGCTTCCACTGTGACGTCAGTAGCTACAACCTGAGCGGCACGCCCCTGGAGAACCTCAGCCTCCCTGAGAGGAACTCCCTGCTGCTCCCCCCCAAGTCCTCGTGCCGGCAGTTTGATGTCCTGAGTCTGTTGAACGGCAGCCTGGCAGAGTTTACAGGCCACGATGCCAGCCCTGTCGCTCTCTACTCGAACACGTCCAGGCGGCAGATCGAGTGCCAGCATGGGTATCAATATTCTAAGGAGGAATACAGCTCCACCCTAACGTCAGAGGTACGTCACGTCACACGTTTGGGTGGGGGTTGTGTACACGAGTTGTATGTACACGTTTGGGTGGGGATTGTGTACAAGAGTTTGTATGTAGTCGTTTGGGTGGGGATTGTGTACACGAGTTTGTATGTATACGTTGGGTGGGGATTGTGTACAAGAGTTTGTATGTAGTCGTTTGGGTGGGGATTGTGTACACGAGTTTGTATGTATACGTTGGGTGGGAATTGTGTACAAGAGTTTGTATGTACACGTTTGGGTGGGGGTTGTGTACACAAGTTTGTATGTAGTCGTTTGGGTGGGGATTGTGTACACGAGTTTGTATGTATACGTTGGGTGGGGATTGTGTACAAGAGTTTGTATGTATACGTTGGGTGGGGATTGTGTACAAGAGTTTGTATGTATACGTTGGGTGGGGATTGTGTACAAGAGTTTGTATGTAGTCGTTTGGGTGGGGATTGTGTACACGAGTTTGTATGTATACGTTGGGTGGGGATTGTGTACAAGAGTTTGTATGTACACGTTTGGGTGGGGGTTGTGTACACAAGTTTGTATGTAGTCGTTTGGGTGGGGATTGTGTACACGAGTTTGTATGTATACGTTGGGTGGGGATTGTGTACAAGAGTTTGTATGTATACGTTGGGTGGGGATTGTGTACAAGAGTTTGTATGTATACGTTGGGTGGGGATTGTGTACAAGAGTTTGTATGTATACGTTGGGTGGGGATTGTGTACAAGAGTTTGTATGTATACGTTGGGTGGGGATTGTGTACACGAGTTTGTATGTATACGTTGGGTGGGGATTGTGTACAAGAGTTTGTATGTATACGTTGGGTGGGGATTGTGTACAAGAGTTTGTATGTATACGTTGGGTGGGGATTGTGTACAAGAGTTTGTATGTATACGTTGGGTGGGGATTGTGTACAAGAGTTTGTATGTATACGTTGGGTGGGGATTGTGTACAAGAGTTTGTATGTATACGTTGGGTGGGGATTGTGTACACGAGTTGTATGTACACGTTTAGATGGGGGTTGTGTACAAGAGTTTGTATGTATACGTTGGGTGGGGATTGTGTACAAGAGTTTGTATGTATACGTTGGGTGGGGATTGTGTACAAGAGTTTGTATGTATACGTTGGGTGGGGATTGTGTACAAGAGTTTGTATGTATACGTTGGGTGGGGATTGTGTACACGAGTTGTATGTACACGTTTAGATGGGGGTTGTGTACAAGAGTTTGTATGTATACGTTGGGTGGGGATTGTGTACACGAGTTTGTATGTACACGTTTAGATGGGGGTTGTGTACAAGAGTTTGTATGTATACGTTGGGTGGGGATTGTGTACACGAGTTTGTATGTACACGTTTAGATGGGGGTTGTGTACAAGAGTTTGTATGTACATGTTTAGATGGGGGTTGTGTACAAGAGTTTGTATGTACATGTTTAGATGGGGGTTGTGTACAAGAGTTTGTATGTACATGTTTAGATGGGGGTTGTGTACACGAGTTTGCATGTACACGTTGGAATAGGGTTTATGTAGACGACTTTGTATGTACACGTTGGAGTATGGGTTGTGTACACGAGTTGTATACTCGTTATAAACGCCATTTTAGTGTTATATTTGTGCTGTAATACAATTGTTGTTAGTGCCGATATGTCTAAGCTGATTGCTTAACGTGGATGTCGTGTAGTAGCTTAACTATGTGTTTGTATTGGCAAGACGTAGTTGAGAACTGGTTTTAAAATCTGCCTTATTTCATCAGTTTGATTTAGTGTGAAGAAAATTCTGTTTTATTTCCTCAGTTTGATTTGGTGTGTGATAGAAAATTCTGTTTTATTTCCTCAGTTTGATTTGGTGTGAAGAAAATTATGTTTTATTTCCTCAGTTTGATTTGGTGTGAAGAAAATTCTGTTTTATTTCCTCAGTTTGATTTGGTGTGTGATAGAAAATTCTGTTTTATTTCCTCAGTTTGATTTGGTGTGAAGAAAATTATGTTTTATTTCCTCAGTTTGATTTGGTGTGAAGAAAATTCTGTTTTATTTCCTCAGTTTGATTTGGTGTGTGATAGAAAATTCTGTTTTATTTCCTCAGTTTGATTTGGTGTGAAGAAAATTATGTTTTATTTCCTCAGTTTGATTTGGTGTGTGATAGAAAATTCTGTTTTATTTCCTCAGTTTGATTTGGTGTGAAGAAAATTATGTTTTATTTCCTCAGTTTGATTTGGTGTGAAGAAAATTATGTTTTATTTCTTCAGTTTGATTTGGTGTGTGATAGAAAATTCTGTTTTATTTCCTCAGTTTGATTTGGTGTGAAGAAAATTATGTTTTATTTCCTCAGTTTGATTTGGTGTGAAGAAAATTATGTTTTATTTCCTCAGTTTGATTTGGTGTGTGATAGAAAATTCTGTTTTATTTCCTCAGTTTGATTTGGTGTGAAGAAAATTATGTTTTATTTCCTCAGTTTGATTTGGTGTGTGATAGAAAATTCTGTTTTATTTCCTCAGTTTGATTTGGTGTGAAGAAAATTATGTTTTATTTCCTCAGTTTGATTTGGTGTGTGATAGAAAATTCTGTTTTATTTCCTCAGTTTGATTTGGTGTGAAGAAAATTATGTTTTATTTCCTCAGTTTGATTTGGTGTGAAGAAAATTATGTTTTATTTCCTCAGTTTGATTTGGTGTGTGATAGAAAATTATGTTTTATTTCTTCAGTTTGATTTGGTGTAAAGAAAATTATGTTTTATTTCCTCAGTTTGATTTGGTGTGTGATAGAAAATTCTGTTTTATTTCCTCAGTTTGATTTGGTGTGAAGAAAATTATGTTTTATTTCCTCAGTTTGATTTGATGTGTGATAGAAAATTCTGTTTTATTTCCTCAGTTTGATTTAGTGTGTGATTGAAAATTCTGTTTTATTTCCTCAGTTTGATTTGGTGTGTGATAGAAAATTCTGGATTCCAACATCGAAATCAGTTTTTTTTGCCGGCAGACTCTGTGGGGCTTTTGTGTTTGGTCAGCTATCTGACAGGTAGGTCAGCTGTCATATATAAAGGTCAGCTGTCAGACATATAGGTCAGCTGTCAGTCATATGTCACCTACCTGACAGGTAGGTCAGCTGTCATATATAAAGGTCAGCTGTCAGACATATGTCAGCTGTCAGACATATAGGTCAGCTGTCAGACATATAGGTCAGCTGTCAGACAGGTAGGTCAGCTGTCAGACATATAGGTCAGCTGTCAGACATATAGGTCAGCTGTCTGACAGGTAGGTCAGCTGTCAGACATATAGGTCAGCAGTCAGACATATAGGTCAGCTGTCAGTCATATGTCACCTACCTGACAGGTAGGTCAGCTGTCATATATAAAAGTCAGCTGTCAGACAGGTAGGTCAGCTGTCAGACAGGTAGGTCAGCTGTCAGACATATAGGTCAGCTGTCAGACATATAGGTCAGCTGTCAGACATATAGGTCAGCTGTCAGACATATAGGTCAGCTGTCAGACATATAGGTCAGCTGTCAGACATATAGGTAAGCTGTCAGACATATAGGTCAGCTGTCAGACATATAGGTCAGCTGTCAGACATAAAGGTCAGCTGTCAGACATATAGGTCAGCTGTCAGACATATAGGTCAGCTGTCAGACATATAGGTCAACTGTCAGACATATGTCAGCTGTCAGACATATAGGTCAGCTGTCAGACATATAGGTCAGCTGTCAGACATATAGGTCAGCTGTCAGACATATAGGTCAGCTGTCAGACATATAGGTCAGCTGTCAGACATATAGGTCAGCTGTACGAGAGGCAGGACATCGTGCTATATTTAGACGTGTTCTGGACTACCGGACATAATACGGTTATAACTAGATCATTTGTTCAACTCAAATATCAGCCTGACCAAACCAGAGACCCATGACAAATTAAGAAAACATCAAATATCAGCCTGACCCTACCAAACCAGAGACCCATGACAAATTAAGAAAACATGACATGACCTAGGGAGAAAATAGTAAGATCTTCCCACCCCCCAGTGATTAGTCACATCTAGCCCCACCCCCACCCCCATACCACTTCCCACTCCCCACAAACTCTAGTCCAGTTTTTTGGTAAAAACTCACTAGAAGACATGACCGTCGTCTGAGACCTGCACCAAACACCCCCGCCATGGGGAGGTGATCAAAGAAATGGTTTGTACCTGCGACAGACATATATTTACCTAGCCAATCAAACGGAAATATTGAACGCTAAAATTACATTCAAAAGAGAACAAAAATGTGTATTAGCTTAGGGAATCAATACTTATCGATCCATTGAAATGTTTAATAGTTCTATGTCTTATTCATCTTCTACAGATTCGGACGCCGGCCTATGTTCTTCGTGGGTTGTCTGCTCCTGCTAGTAGCAGGCACAATTGCTTCCCTTGCACCAAATATTTTCGTCTTTTTACCCATGTATTTTTGTCAGGGTGCTGCCCATACAGGGGCGTTTTTAGTGGCTTATACACTGTGTAAGTAGTATACGATGATATGGGGATTGATTATGTACACACAGCCATCAGCATATATATATATATATATATATATATATATATATATATATATATATATATATATACGTATATATATCAAATTACAATTTCATAAAGACACATATAATCTAGTAACATCAAATAGTTAACTAGACATTTTGGCATCAACACAAACTTTAAGACATGCTATATTTAACACAATACTTGGACGTGCTATAGTTAACATAATATTTAGACATGCCATAACATTTTTACATGCCATAATTAACACAACATTTTTACATGCCATAATTAACACAATATTTTTTACATGCCAAAATTAACACAATATTTAAACATGCTATAGTCAACACAACATTTAAACATGCTATAGTTAACACAATATTTAAACATACTATAGTTAACACAACATTTAGACATGCTATAGTTAACACAACATGTAAACATGCTATAGTTAACACAATATTTAAACATACTATAGTTAACACAACATTTGGACATGCTATAGTTAACACAACATTTGGACATGCTATAGTTAACACAACTCTATAGTTAACACAACATTTTGACATGCTATAGTTAACACAACATTTAAACATGCTATAGTTCACACAACGCTATAGTTAACACAATATTTAAACATGCTATAGTTCACACAACTCTATAGTTAACACAACATTTAAACATGCTATAGTTAACACAACATTTGAACACGCTATAGTTAACACAACATTTGGACATGCTATAGTTAACACAACATTTAAACATGCTATAGTTAACACAACATTTGAACACGCTATAGTTAACACAACATTTGGACATGCTATAGTTAACACAATATTTAAACATACTATAGTTAACACAACATTTGGACATGCTATAGTTCACACAACGCTATAGATAACACAACATTTGGACATGCTATAGTTCACACAACGCTATAGTTAACACAATATTTAAACATACTATAGTTAACACAACATTTGGACATGCTATAGTTCACACAACGCTATAGTTAACACAATATTTAAACATACTATAGTTAACACAACATTTAGACATGCTATAGTTAACACAACATTTGGATATGCTATATCTGACACTCTGCGACTTGTCTAGCAACAGAACTTGTCGGGCCACGGTACCGTGTTGTTGCTGGATTTGTCAGTCAAGGATTCTACAGTATAGGGTACATAACTCTAGCGGGACTTGCTTACTTTATCCGAGAGTGGCGCTACCTTGAGATGACCATCACACTACCTGTTCTCTTGTTTGGTTTCTATTGGTGGTGAGTACATTCCGTGCGTGATAGTACAATACACCGTGGTGAGTACACTACACCGTGGTGAGTACATTACACCGTGGTGAGTACACCACACCGTGGTGAGTACATTACACCGTGGTGAGTACAATACACCGTGGTGAGTACATTACACCGTGGTGAGTACATTACATCGTGGTGAGTACACTACACCGTGGTGAGTACAATACACGGTGGTGAGTACAATACACCGTGGTGAGTACAATACACCGTGGTGAGTACAATACACTGATGTGGGTACACTACACCGTGGTGAGTACACTACACCGTGGTGAGTACACTACACCGTGGTGAGTACACTACAACGTGGTGAGTACAATACACCGTGGTGAGTACAATACACCGTGGTGAGTACACTACACCGTGGTAACACCCCGCGCACATGGTAGTTCTAATGAGTAACACTTAATTAAGAAACACTAACATGCTTGAAACGTGTTTATTCAAAGCCTAATGCAACAAGAACAAATGGCCGAATGACCTTGACCCCGTGTTCCAGGTTTCTCCCAGAGTCCATCAGATGGCAGATGTCCCACGGGCGAGAGGCCCAGGCTGAGGAGACCATCAGACGGGCGGCCCGACAGAACGGGGTCACGCTGGGCAGCGACGTCTTCAAGACCCTGCAGGACGACCCTTCGCTCAAGGCCGGCAGACAGTACTACATCCTAGACTGTGTCCGTACGTGGAAGATGGCCAAACTCTCCTTTAACATTTGGTTTAACTGGTCAGTAGATGGTGGAAGATGGCCAAACTCTCCTTTAACATTTGGTTTAACTGGTCAGTAGATGGTGGAAGATGGCCAAACTCTCCTTTAACATTTGGTTTAACTGGTCAGTAGAGGGTGGAAGATGGCCAAACTATACTTTAACATTTGGTTTAACTGGTCAGTAGAGGGTGGAAGATGGCCAAACTCTCCTTTAACATTTGGTTTAACTGGTCAGTAGATGGTCGAAGATGGCCAAACTATACTTTAACATTTGGTTTAACTGGTCAGTAGATGGTCGAAGATGGCCAAACTATACTTTAACATTTGGTTTAACTGGTCAGTAGAGGGTGGAAGATGGCCAAACTCTCCTTTAACATTTGGTTTAACTGGTCAGTAGATGGTGGAAGATGGCCAAACTCTCCTTTAACATTTGGTTTAACTGGTCAGTAGAGGGTGGAAGATGGCCAAACTCTCCTTTAACATTTGGTTTAACTGGTCAGTAGATGGTGGAAGATGGCCAAACTCTCCTTTAACATTTGGTTTAACTGGTCAGTAGAGGGTGGAAGATGGCCAAACTCTCCTTTAACATTTGGTTTAACTGGTCAGTAGAGGGTGGAAGATGGCCAAACTCTCCTTTAACATTTGGTTTAACTGGTCAGTAGATGGTGGAAGATGGCCAAACTCTCCTTTAACATTTAGTTTAACTGGTCAGTAGAGGTCACGTTAGGTCGTGGTTTTTGTTAGTTGAGTCTAGTGTCCAACAAAGCCATGGCAGCATTGTTTAACTTGTAGCTAGTTTATTTTTTTATTTATGCTCCGGAGGGGGAGAGGGTGTGGAAATGATTAAGAATGATTGACGTATATATTTTCTCTTCAGCACTTGCGTACTTGCGTATCTGTCGCGCGCTGCTGCGATCTTAAAAGATAGGAAATTTAAACTGACGGAGTACGTTAAAAGAATTTTATCGACGCGTTACCAATCGTGTATTTTTTAGACGGTGTTACCTTGTTTACTCAGCCTGAATGATTTAGATGTAAACAATGCCAGCGCTATATTTCTTGGATCTCGGTTGTTGGGGCGCGGGTTTGTCAACACTGTAGCCATGAGTATGTAAACTGGAGAGTACGCTGACCACCCTGGTGTCAGGGGTGCTGCATGGCGTTCTTGGGAGCCACTGGTTACACCACAGTATCTCTCTCACACACACACATTCACACACACATTCACACACACACACGCACAAAAACACACACACACTCACAAACACACACACGTACGTATATATATATATATATATATATATATATATATATATATATATATATATATATATATATATATATATCGTCCGAGAGGAGTTGGTGGACGTGATCTTGGTTGAGGGGGGGGTGTTTGAAAGAAACTCTGTCTGCCCCGGTCATGGTTTACAAGTTTCATCACAAAGGAATTTCGTTGGACCAGACATCTAGTGCAAAAGTTATTGAATAATCTAGTCATGTAACAGATGCATTGGATTATAAGATGAACTTTGGTTGACATCTGTCTACATCTTTCAGGTTTGTCAATGCCCTTGTTTATTACGGCTTGTCCTTGAACACGGAAAATCTAGCAGGTAGGAAACTGTTTCTGTTTATATACTCGTCTCACTGGGTCAACACGTCACACTAGCGTCACTGTGACGTCGCTTGTCACTGTGACGTCGCTTGTCACTGTGACGCCACTTGTCACTGGGACTCCACTTGTCACTGTGACTCCACTTGTCACTGTGACTCCACTTGTCACTGTGACTCCACTTGTCACTGTGACTCCACTTGTCACTGTGACTCCACTTGTCACTGTGACTCCACTTGTCACTGTGACTCTACTTGTCACAGTGGCGCCACTTGTCACTGTGACGCCACTTATCACAGTGACGTCACTTAGCACAGTGACTCCACTTGTCACTGTGACTCCACTTGTCACTGTGCTCACCAGTAAAATCATCTTGCTGACAAATCAATTTCCCCACACAGGAAACCCGTACATGAATTTCTGTCTGGCCGGAGCAGTAGAGATACCTGCTTACGTCATCTGTATTTTAATCTTAAACAAGGTGGGTCGTCGCTGGCCACTCATACTGTCCATGTACATCGGTGGGGTGGCGTGTATCTTGTCTGGGTGTCTTCCTACAGAGGAGAGCAGTAGTAAGTGGATTTTGTCATGGCCATCAAATTTGTCATGTCCATCAAATTTGTCATGTCCACCAAACTTGTATCTCATGTCCACCAAACTTGTATCTCATGTCCACCAAACTTGTATCTCATGTCCACCAAACTTGTATCTCATGTCCACCAAACTTGTCTCTCATGTCCACCAAACTTGTATCTCATGTCCACTAAACTTGTATCTCATGTCCACCAAACTTGTATCTCATGTCCACCAAACTTGTATCTCATGTCCACCAAACTTGTCATGTCCACCAAACTTGTCATGTCCACCAAACTTGTCATGTCCACCAAACTTGTATCTCATGTCCACCAAACTTGTATCTCATGTCCACCAAACTTGTATCTCATGTCCACCAAACTTGTCATGTCCACCAAACTTGTATCTCATGTCCACCAAACTTGTATCTCATGTCCACCAAACTTGTATCTCATGTCCACCAAACTTGTCATGTCCACCAAACTTGTATCTCATGTCCACCAAACTTGTATCTCATGTCCACCAAACTTGTCTTGTCCACCAAACTTGTATCTCATGTCCACCAAACTTGTCATGTCCACCAAACTTGTATCTCATGTCCACCAAACTTGTATCTCATGTCCACCAAACTTGTCATGTCCACCAAACTTGTATCTCATGTCCACCAAACTAGTCATGTCCACCAAACTTGTATCTCATGTCCACCAAACTTGTATCTCATGTCCACCAAACTTGTATCTCATGTCCACTAAAATTGTATCTCATGTCCATGTGACTTGAACTTCCACAGCTATAGAAACTGTGTCTGTAGTTCTTGCAATGTTAGGAAAGTTTGGAATTACGGCTTCCTACGCTATTATATACCTGATGGCGGCTGAGCTTTTTCCTACTGTAATAAGGTAATTTATCCTACACATTTCCACTTTTCCCTACTGTAATAAGGTATTACAACATCCTTTTTATCTTACACATTGACACTTTTACCTACTGTATTTAGGTATTACAACACCCTTTTTATCTTACACATTTACACTTTTACCTACTGTAATAAGGTATTACAACACCCTTTTTATCTTACACATTTACACTTTTATCTACTGGAATAAAGTATCACTGCACCCTTGCGAATATCGACTTAGATCTAATTCCTTTAATACAAAGAAAATATGTCACTAACGTTGTTCCCTTTCAAATAAAACTCGCCCTGAAAAAATCCATACATTCATAAAAACAACATCGCTTGACGCTACGTTATATTCAAGTATAATCATTGAAGTTTATGTTGATATAAAGGGAGGGGTGGGGTGCTGGGGAAAAAACATAGATGAACTAAAAAAATAACACAACTTAATTATACAGATTAATTTATAGATTGTTAAGACGAAGTTTAAACATCATTATATTTTTTAAAAACGTTAGTAACCTGATAGACACATACCATAGGGTTGCTAATGAGATTCTGTAGCGGAACATACAAGATATCTGATCACGTGATCTATTAATGCAAGACATTTGTTTACAGAAATATTGGCATGGGCGTGGCTTCAATGTCTGCCCGTATTGGTGGCATTCTGGCACCGGTGTTCCTGGATCTGCAGACGATATCCAAACCGTTCCCACTGATCGTGTTCGGGAGTCTGTCCCTTCTGGCCGGGTCTCTGGCCATTCTCCTGCCTGAGACGGCAGGAAAACCGTTGCCACAGTTACCAGAAGACGTGGACACGTCAGAAACTTGGTAAATGCTGACATTTTTAAATATATTTTTTCTTTAGCCACTTTAGGCTAAAGCATGTCTAACATTAGCCCCTTTAGGCTAAATCGTGTCTAACATTAGCCACTTATTTATTTAACAAGTTTTATGATAGAGTAGTTAGAAGATTATTAAGAATGGGAGAATCAGTGGCATAGGCTGGGGGGGGGGGGGGATGATGTGATAGGGTGGGTGTTGGGTGAAGCCGCCGCTATGAACTCACAGGAAAACTGTTTCGTGTGAAGTTACAGATATTGGCATGGCATACATGAAATATTTTATCCCCTTCCCCTCCTCCCCACATTCCCATAATAAAATCATTATCGAATATGAATATTATGTACATAGCATATATTATCGTGTGTTTACATAATCCACACAGCATGTGTTATGTATTATCACGTATTTATAACGGTATTTATGCAGCTTGTATCTACGTATATTTACCCAGCAGTTATTTAACGTGTATGTGTCCTTCTATTATCCTCACCCACCTACTGTATATAGAGTAAAGCTTTGTATCATCCTCACTCACCTACTGTATAGAGAGTAAAGCTTTGTATTATCCTCACCCACCTACTGTATAGAGAGTAAAGCTTTGTATTATCCTCACCCACCTACTGTATAGAGAGTAAAGCTTTGTATTATCCTCACCCACCTACTGTATAGAGAGTAAAGCTTTGTATTACCCTCACCCACCTACTGTATAGAGAGTAAAGCTTTGTATTATCCTCACCCACCTACTCTATAGAGAGTAAAGCTTTGTATTATCCTCACCCACCTACTCTATAGAGAGTAAAGCTTTGTATTATCCTAACCCACCTACTGTATAGAGAGTAAAGCTTTGTATTATCCTCACCCACCTACTCTATAGAGAGTAAAGCTTTGTATTATCCTCACCCACCTACTGTATATAGAGTAAAGCTTTGTATCATCCTCACCCACCTACTGTATAGAGAGTAAAGCTTTGTATTATCCTCACCCACCTACTGTATAGAGAGTAAAGCTTTGTATTATCCTCACCCACCTACTCTATAGAGAGTAAAGCTTTGTATTATCCTCACCCACCTACTGTATAGAGAGTAAAGCTTTGTATTATCCTCACCCACCTACTGTATAGAGAGTAAAGCTTTGTATTATCCTCACCCACCTACTGTATATAGAGTAAAGCTTTGTATTATCCTCACCCACCTACTGTATAGAGAGTAAAGCTTTGTATTATCCTCACTCACCTACTGTATAGAGAGTAAAGCTTTGTATTATCCTCACCCACCTAATGTATAGAGAGTAAAGCTTTGTATTATCCTCACCGACCTACTGTATAGAGAGTAAAGCTTTGAACTTTTTGTCTAGCACCGATGCATTATGCTGCAGAGGGAAAGAGAAATACAAACTGGACACAGAACTTCAACAAAAAATCTAGCTCCAAGCCAAGTCGTGTCAAAGTCAGGTCCAAGTCATGTCCAAGTCAGGTCCAAGTCACATCTAAACCGCTTTCAGTCACGTGCCCGTCACACTAATGGCCCGCCCCCGGGGTCGCTGTACATACTATTTGTGACTTGCAGTGTTACCCCAACCTTTGACCTTTTCTAACAACCCTCAGTCTAAAGTGGCCAGTCACATGACTGTTGCAGGATCAACTTTCCAAGTCATTTTTGTTGCATAGCAACAGCAAATTTAAATCATTCTATAAAACCTTGATCAAATGACATTTATAAGGACTTAACTTGTGCTAAATAACTTTAAAGATTCATAGTAGCTTATCTCCCCTTGTACATTGGTTATTAGGACTGTATAAAAAACAAAGTAGCCTACATCAATGGCACATGGGCTGAGATAGTTTGGGGAACTTCATTTTTGATAGCTTGATTTGAAAGTGTATTGCCCGCATCATTATTTATTTCATTGTTTGTTCTTTCAATTTGTTCTCTCTTACAATATAAAAATGTCACAGTACCACAAGATGCCAGGTGATGCTTAACTTCAACTGTTGCAATATTTCACGACCCCATTTATTGTCACATTCATCTTGTGAGTAGTTTCTCTTGTTTCTGGCCTTATAAAAAAACTCAATTTCAATTCGACATAAGTTACATTGATGATTAATGTGTTCCAATGGAGGTTGAACAGTTCTGTGCAAGTCAGACTACTATCAAAAGACAGATGGCAATATACTACATGTAACTGTTAGCTTATGAAGTCTTGGAGACATATGTGCTCATGCACAAAATACCCAATAATATCTTGGTTCAGTTAAATACATTTATGTAGGTACTACCAGAACATTTTTAAATTCTGCAGGAACAATCTGATTGGTGTCATTATTTGCCTAATGTTCATTATAGATATGTATGCACGTAATATTTAAATATTTTAAATAATCAGATTATTTTTATAAAAGTATTAAACATAATTATATCAAGGAACTTGTGTGCCTTTATAGAAAGAGACTATTTTTTTTACATGATCAGCTTTGATGTAATGATACAATATTGTTGTTAAATATACTGCAGGCTCTTTTAGCTACATGTTTTTTTTACACTGCTGATTTATCGTCATTTTGTTATCGTACAGTTCTTGTAAAAAAATATGTGAATACTTTGTTGCTGATTTTTATTAAAATGTTAAACACTTGACTTGTATAGAATATTGAAATTAAAACCGAATGAAATTTATTTTGATAACATGTACATGATTTTGTAATCTACAGGTTATGACAATGGTCAAGTAACCAAGAAAGCAAATATAATTGCATTACTAATACTTTCCTTGGTATTATAAACTCACGATCAGTGATTCTTTCTCCCCCCCCCCCCTCAAGACGGAAAAGGAAATGTATAATTTAAATAGACAACAATAAATAGATCTAAGCCTACTAATGTAACCAGGGTCAGCCAGGAAGTTTTAAGTGTGAAAGAAACCCTGGACCCATACATTGATACATTGTATACTAAATAAATCTAGACTTACGGCCAGAGGCGTAGCTGAGGGCGTGGCGGCCGCCTTAAGCGCCGACCACAGGGGGTTGGGCAAACATGGTAGAAAGAAATCTCATTCTGAGCTTTATTCAATAGCAATGAATTGTACACAGCCGAAGTTAAGAAATTAGATTTTTTTCTGCATCAATTGTGTGACCCCCATTTAACGGTTATGGGACAGTCCCACCCATTCCAAACTGGAATGGATGGAGAGGATGGGGTGAGGATGTATTTTTACCATTATGAATTTATTTAAAGAAAGAAAATAAAAATAAAGCAATATTCGAATGTAGAGACACATTTTTAATTATGCAACCGGAAAAATAGTTTATGGTTGTGACAAGAGCGCACTAAACACTTGCCATATGTTCAAACTACAGAAAGAACACAACACTGACTGATGGCGTCATCATCCAATTTTAAACGTGTAGAGGGGGTGGAAGCAGGCGTTGTGACTGAAATAGCAATATTAGCAGAAAGTGATATTATTTCAACGCCAAATTGCTATTTCATCCAATGTTAGAATATGAAGAAATGAACTATTTCACGCAAATTTGATTTTAGAACTAGATCTAGATTCTATAAATCTACTGATTGAGACGTATGCTATAGAATGTAAGTATACAACTTTATCGGTCAAACTAATACAAATTATTTAAAAAACCATTCATTGTCCATTTAACAGCCGGGTAATGCCGGGTATTTAACGGAATCATTTAAGTCTCTTAATCATTGTATGCATTTAATACGGTGTTGTGTTGACTAATAGTGTACATAATTTGGTTTTAATTTTTCTAATAGGTATTGGTAGCCTATGTTATTTTAAATGTGTCGGATTTTTAGGTATTTAGATCTAGTTATTTCTTTGCATGGTCACTAATGTTGTTCAACGTATAGTATAGTAAAGCACATTGCGTTTTGAGCAATAACTATTTTATAAAATATTTTTCTCAAACATGAATAACATTAAAAATATTTTATGTAGGCTTATATAATTCACGCTTAACGGGTACCGCCGGCTAGTTTCTTATAAACGCTCCAGCAGTAGCCATTTAATAATTTTCAATTTTGCGAAACTGAAACTTCTGTAGACGGGGTGATGGGTGTTGCCTAGATTAGAATCTCTAGAATCTAGATCTAGATTCTAGATCTAGATCTAGACTAGACTAGATAAAATAGATTCCACTTTCATGGTTAGTTCTGATGAAAACCATAACCAATGACAATATTCAATATAGATCTAGATCTAGTACTAATTAATAGTAATATCCTTCCTTCACTTAGAAGACTTAGATCTAGATTCTAGATCTAGATCTAGACTAGACTCTCTATTACTAGTAATTTACTATTAGTATTACTAAAGTTATTACTTCCTACTTTAAGGTAGTCTAGTACTAAATAACTAATGAGTACTAGATTCTACTACGTACTAGATCTAGTAACTCTAGATCTAATATCTAGTGTTACACTTGCACTAGTGCAGAGTTTCTTCCAGGCATCTCTTCGCCCCCCCCCCCCCCAGCTTGGCTTAATGGAATTTTAGCAGTGTCCAGAAAATTTCACGTGCACCCCTGAGAAAAAAAGTCTGGAAGAAACACTGCACTAGTGTAGTCTGTAACAGGTAGAGAGTAGTAGTTAAATACAGTGACGTAGCGAGGTCGGGTGTCACCCAGTGCGGCACTTAATGGTGTCACCCCCCCAGAGGCATAGAGACCCTTCCCAGGGACAAACTTTCAAATTTTCGATTTGCACCCCCCCCCCCTCAAACTTTCGATTTGCACCCCCCCCCCTCGAGTTTTCGATTTGCACCCCCCCCCCCTCAAACTTTCGATTTGCACCCCCCTCGAGTTTTTCTCTATATATTTTGCTATTTTTTGCCTTGGTGTCACCCCCCTAAATGGTGTCACCCGGTGCGGTCCGCACCCCCCGCCCCCCCCCCCCTCGCTACGCCCCTGGTTAAATATTATAAATAATAGATAATACTAGACTAGATTTGGAAATAATAGATCTAGATAGAATCTAGATCTAGTTAAAAAGAAAATAGTAAGTTAGTACCAGTAAAACACTAGGGGGGGGGGGGGGTGGTAGACAATTTTAGTATTAGGTATTAATAGGTAAGGTTAGGTTAGTACTACTAGCTAGGATAATGAATGATGAATTATGATCTTCTACCTTATCTAGAACTAGACTTTTAGTTTGAGTTACTAGGATAGTAGATCTAGATAAGATAGTAGACTGTAGATCTTCTAGATTAGATTAGATTAGTAGCAATACAGCTTTTACTTACAACACTCTCACTGTCCACATATTCAATCTGTCATTATTATTTTGAAATTGTATCATTAGGTAGGCCTATAGTATAGGGCATAGGCCTCTATATCTGACTATATCATAATATATCATACTAGTCACATTACCTACAACTATGAGTCTGTTTTTGTTAATCCTAACCCCAGCAGCCCTGCCTAAGAAAACTGATACACTAATGCATGTCCTGCTGGTATGTAAGCATCAGCTCCCCATCAGTATTTAGCTCAACTACTTACATTGTTATTCTGGCCATCTTTAAAGCTTATTCACTCTTTTTTCCCCAGTATTTTCACAACAGTGCGACAATATGAAATTGATGACAATGAAATCAGTTTAGGATGGCTAAAGAAGCTGTGACTTGTCTACTGGCAACAGTTGCCATTGTGTTGAATGATGCACTTGGTAAATCCCAATCTAATGGGTGTTCAGCACCCTTGATTCTCCCCAACTTGCCCTTCTTTGTTGTGTGGAACCATCCCACAGAATCTTGTCGGGCCAAAGGAATTGACTTGAACTTGGACAAGTGGGGCATCATTGATAACACTGGTGACAAGTTCCTTGGTCAAAGTATTTCACTCTTTTACAACCTTGGACTCTGGCCCTATTACAGTGGTAATGAGACAGCCCATAATGGCGGCATTCCCCAGGTCAGCCACACTTGTATTAGTAGTAGGTAAAGTTCTCTTTTAAACCTGACGGCAAGTCAAGTAGAGTTCACTTGTTTCTGTGACCTCGGCATATGAAGATATAGTGTGGTCAGCACTATGTCCAGACACCTTTACTTTCCTTAACGTGAGTTAGGTACCCATCAGAGTTGGGTGGACTCAGCGACGGTCTACTGACTTAAACCCGGATTCAAATTCGAGACTTACAGGTTAACAGTCCAGCTCTCTACTTCTAGGCCACTCCGTCCCTCTTGTATTAGTGAGTCATAATATTGAGATTATAAGAGGAGAAGTTTAGTCAGTGTGTGGAAACCATTTAGCTTGCTGCTCGTTCATGCCTGTATGCCACACCAGCTTATCCATTTTGTCAGCTGTCCTAGCACAGTCATGTGACTAAACTAACTTACACCCAATCTTTGAAAGTGGTGTCACACTTGTATTTTGGTATCTCTATTTGCTAAAACTTTTTATTCTAGCTTGGCAATTTGTCAGAACACATAAGGAAAGTACAGGCTGATGTTGAGTCCACTCTACCAGACAAAACTTTCTCAGGGCTAGGAGTGATAGACTTTGAGCACTGGCGTCCCCTGTATGCACTCAACTACGACTCATTGAAAATCTATCAGCTCAAGTCCTACCAGCTGGCCAAACTCAAGTTCCCTAATGCTAGCAAGGAGGAGCTGGTCAGGGAGGCTACCAAAGAGTTTGAGCTAGCAGCAAGGTAATTAGCAAGGTAATTAGCAAGGTAATTAGCAAGGTAACTTACATACACCTCAATCAAGGTCAATTGTAAATTGTCTGTTAGTTTAAGAATGTTCTCATTTCAGAGAATTTCTCCAAAACACTTTAAGTAACGTAACGTCACTGCGAGCCTCAGGGAGATGGGGTTACTATGGTTACCCGCGATGTTGGGATACCTACTGCAACACTTCAACAGTTGCTATCAATGATCAGTAAGTTTCACAGTCATTTTGATTTAAATACAATTTCTTCCTTTGTCAGTCATTTGAATCAGATTGTAATCAAGTGGTTGACAATGTTGAAATATGGAGAAAATAAAGGATATAGAAATAAATCTAAAACTGGACAAAATTTATTTCACATAGGCTACTTTTAAATCATGAAAATTTTGAGATTCCTCTCATCTCAGATTGTATGTTAAGATACAAGTGTATAAATGTATATTAATGAATGTATGAGCAGTGTTTCTTCCAGACTTTTTTCTCTGGGGGGTGGGTATGGACTCAAATTATATTTTTTATGTAACTTCCATTTTGTTCAGGGTGGGGGGGGGGGGGGGGGGGGGGGCGAGCCCCTCAAAGAGATGTCTTGAAGAAACTCTGGGTACGAACATACATCTGCTGTATGTCAAGGTTTAGTGCTAATGTTTCAGGTTGTATTGGATCTATGAGAACAGCACCAGCCTGTACCCTTCCATTGTGCTAATGTTTCAGGTTGTATTGGATCTATGAGAACAGCACCAGCTGTACCCTTCCATTGTGCTAATGTTTCAGGTTGTATTGGATCTATGAGAACAGCACCAGCCTGTACCCTTCCATTGTGCTAATGTTTCAGGTTGTATTGGATCTATGAGAACAGCACCAGTGTGTACCCTTCCATTGTGCTAATGTTTCAGGTTGTATTGGATCTATGAGAACAGCACCAGCCTGTACCCTTCCATTGTGCTAATGTTTCAGGTTGTATTGGATCTATAAGAACAGCACCAGCTGTACCCTTCCATTGTGCTAATGTTTCAGGTTGTATTGGATCTATGAGAACAGCACCAGCCTGTACCCTTCCATTGTGCTAATGTTTCAGGTTGTATCGGATCTATGAGAACAGCACCAGCCTGTACCCTTCCATTGTGCTAATGTTTCAGGTTGTATTGGATCTATGAGAACAGCACCAGTGTGTACCCTTCCATTGTGCTAATGTTTCAGGTTGTATTGGATCTATGAGAACAGCACCAGCCTGTACCCTTCCATTGTGCTAATGTTTCAGGTTGTATTGGATCTATGAGAACAGCACCAGCCTGTACCCTTCCATCTACTTTAGCTCTACCGATCCCCTTGACGTCAGGACAGGCAGAATCACTAAAGTCCTGAAAGAAACACTTCGTTTGAAAGCTACATGGTCACCAGAAACTGCTGATGTGCTGGCTTATGCTAATTGCCAGGATGGCCCTTACATTATGTTTGATACTGTAAGTGAATGATGTTTTTCTAATTGGTGGCCTTGACATTGGCAAGGGTTAAGATTTGGTGCCCTAAACATTGGCAAGGGTTAAGATTTGGTGCCCTAAACATTGGCAAGGGTTAAGATTTGGTGCCCTAAACATTGGCAAGGTTTAAGATTTGGTGCCCTAAAAATTGGCAAGGGTTAAGATTTGGTGCCCTAAACATTAGCAAGGTTTAAGATTTGGTACATTGTGTTTACAGCCATGATCTGATTGAGTGCAAGAGTGGGCAGCTTACAGGCATGGTCTGATTGAGTACAAGAGTGGGCATCTTACAGGCATGGTCTGATTGAGTACACGAGTGGGCAGCTTACAGGCATGGTCTGATTGAGTACACGAGTGGGCAGCTTACAGGCATGGTCTGATTGAGTACAAGAGTGGGCATCTTACAGGCATGGTCTGATTGAGTACACGAGTGGGCAGCTTACAGGCATGGTCTGATTGAGTACACGAGTGGGCAGCTTACAGGCATGGTCTGATTGAGTACAAGAGTGGGCATCTTACAGGCATGGTCTGATTGAGTACACGAGTGGGCAGCTTACAGGCATGGTCTGATTGAGTACACGAGTGGGCATCTTACAGGCATGGTCTGATTGAGTACACGAGTGGGCAGCTTACAGGCATGGTCTGAAGCTGAGTTCAGCTGTTTCTGTGACCTTGGCATATGTAGGGGTAGTGTGGTCAACAATCTCCCCTCTTTACTTCTCCTAACGTGAGTCAGGTAACCATCCATCAGAGTTGGCTGGTTTCTTACAGGCTCAAACTGGGTATGGGAACTTGGGACTTATGGGTTAGCAGTGTTGGCTGGTTTCTTACAGGCTCAAACTGGGGATCAGAACTTGTGGGTTAGCAGTGTTGTGCTCTACCATCTGACCATGCCCACCATTTGTTGAAATCCTCTTCAGATGGAGCTGGACAGTGCCGTGGGTCTTCCAGCTGAGATGGGACTGTCTGGTGCTGTACTGTGGGGCAGCTCTGATGTGATGAGGGCAAAGAATGAATGCACCATCCTGCAGCAGTACATCCACACAACACTGGGGCCCTATGTTCTAAACCTGACCAGCTTCTTTCATGCTTGTGGCTCTCAGCTGTGTACTGGCCATGGGAGATGTGTCAACAAACAGTATGAGAGCTACTACCAACATTACCTGAGGAAAACTGGAAGCAAGCAGTGCCAGATACCTCAGAGGTATCTCAGCACCATAAGAAATACATTGAACAGTTTACAATGGAAGACTCACATTTCTAGAAGCTCAGAGCTATTCCACCAAGCTGGTGAGTCCACAAAATACAAGCAGCCCTCTAGAAAAGATGGCTCAAGTCTAAGGGTGGAGCCAGAAAATAATTATGATAATTATGTGTGTAAATGTTTTGCTGGTTGGTCTGGGAGATACTGTGAGCAGCCTGCCCTGCTCTAAGTGCTGCATCCAGTGGTAAGTCTGTCTGGTATGTTGTTTGTTTACTTCTCTCAGTCTATTAGGGCTCAGCTTGTGTGTCTCTCTCATCTACAGCTTATTTCATTGTTAATTCTCCTCATCTTATAAGAGGTGGATGTTGATAGTGGCTTCATGAATTCATGTTTTTTATCTCTATCTTTTGCTCAAATTTTTATTTCTCAAAATTGTTTAGCTCAAATTTATCTAGATCAAGCTTTCTCTATCACTTTGTATCCATTTGCAGGGTGGGGGGGGGGGGGGGGAGAATGGAGGTAGATGGTGGTGTGGTCAGATAGTTCTAATAAGGGGGAGTAGTTGACAAGGGGTAATGGCTGGCTGCTGTTGGAAAAGTGAGTCTTGAAACAACCAACCCACCCTGTTAAGATGTGTTGGTGCATGTCTAGAGGCATTCAATAATGGTGCCTACTTTGGCTTACATTACAGTGTGTGCTATGTTTACATTACATTGTGTGCTATGTTTACACTACAGTGTGTGCTATGTTTACATTACAGTGTGTGCTATGTTTACATTACAGTGAGTGCTATGTTTACATTACAGTGAGTGCTATGTTTACATTACAGTGTGTGCTATGTTTACACTACAGTGTGTGCTATGTTTACATTACAGTGTGAGTGCTATTTTTACATTACAGAGTGAGTGCTATGTTTACATTACAGAGTGAGTGCTATGATTAGAGTGTGTGTTGTGATTATAGTATGAACTATGTTTACCTTTCAGTATGTGCTATGATTACATTCCTGTGTGCTATGATTACATTCCTGATGATTACATTCCTGTGTGCTATGATTATGTTACAGTGTGCTATGGTTGTATTACAGTGTGCTATGGCGTATGTTACATTACACTGTTTGCTATGGTTTGTGTACTTTGATAATTGTTTCCTGATGAAAAATGATTGTATACTTTTTATTTCTGTGATATCGTGGATGAACAATGTATTGTAAAGAGAAACATTCCCAAAGATCTTGTTCTAAAAGATGTACATTTGACTGTAAATATTTCTGTAATGTTTTCTAAACAAACAATTTGACATTTGTAAACTAAAGACTTCTTGCTTGGTTTTCATTCTACATTTATTTAATGGTGAGACTGTTTAATTGTGAATAAAATTTTTTTCTCTATGAAGAGCAGTTGTAGAGTATTGTGTGGGCTCTAGCAATATTTAGCTGTAGAGTATTGTGTGGGCTCTAGCAATATTTAGCTGTAGAGTATTGTGTGGGCTCTAGCAATATTTAGCTGTAGAGTATTGTGTGGGCTCTAGCAATATTTAGCTGTAGAGTATTGTGTGGGCTCTAGCAATATTTAGCTGTAGAGTATTGTGTGGGCTCTAGCAATATTTAGCTGTAGAGTATTGTGTGGGCTCTAGCAATATTTAGCTGTAGAGTATTGTGTGGGCTCTAGCAATATTTAGCTGTAGAGTATTGTGTGGGCTCTAGCAATATTTAGCTGTAGAGTATTGTGTGGGCTCTAGCAATATTTAGCTGTAGAGTATTGTGTGGGCTCTAGCAATATTTAGCTGTAGAGTATTGTGTGGGCTCTAGCAATATTTAGCTGTAGAGTATTGTGTGGGCTCTAGCAATATTTAGCTGTAGAGTATTGTGTGGGCTCTAGCAATATTTAGCTGTACAGTATTGTGTGGGCTCTAGCAATATTTAGCTGTAGAGTATTGTGTGGGCTCTAGCAATATTTAGCTGTAGAGTATTGTGTGGGCTCTAGCAATATTTAGCTGTAGAGTATTGTGTGGGCTCTAGCAATATTTAGCTGTAGAGTATTGTGTGGGCTCTAGCAATATTTAGCTGTAGAGTATTGTGTGGGCTCTAGCAATATTTAGCTGTAGAGTATTGTGTGGGCTCTAGCAATATTTAGCTGTAGAGTATTGTGTGGGCTCTAGCAATATTTAGCTGTAGAGTATTGTGTGGGCTCTAGCAATATTTAGCTGTAGAGTATTGTGTGGGATCTAGCAATATTTAGCTGTAGAGTATTGTGTGGGCTCTAGCAATATTTAGCTGTAGAGTATTGTGTGGGCTCTAGCAATATTTAGCTGTAGAGTATTGTGTGGGCTCTAGCAATATTTAGCTGTAGAGTATTGTGTGGGCTCTAGCAATATTTAGCTGTAGAGTATTGTGTGGGCTCTAGCAATATTTAGCTGTAGAGTATTGTGTGGGCTCTAGCAATATTTAGCTGTAGAGTATTGTGTGGGCTCTAGCAATATTTAGCTGTAGAGTATTGTGTGGGATCTAGCAATATTTAGCTGTAGAGTATTGTGTGGGCTCTAGCAATATTTAGCTGTAGAGTATTGTGTGGGCTCTAGCAATATTTAGCTGTAGAGTATTGTGTGGGCTCTAGCAATATTTAGCTGTAGAGTATTGTGTGGGATCTAGCAATATTTAGCTGTAGAGTATTGTGTGGGCTCTAGCAATATTTAGCTGTAGAGTATTGTGTGGGCTCTAGCAATATTTAGCTGTAGAGTATTGTGTGGGATCTAGCAATATTTAGCTGTAGAGTATTGTGTGGGCTCTAGCAATATTTAGCTGTAGAGTATTGTGTGGGCTCTAGCAATATTTAGCTGTAGAGTATTGTGTGGGCTCTAGCAATATTTAGCTGTAGAGTATTGTGTGGGCTCTAGCAATATTTAGCTGTAGAGTATTGTGTGGGCTCTAGCAATATTTAGCTGTAGAGTATTGTGTGGGATCTAGCAATATTTAGCTGTAGAGTATTGTGTGGGCTCTAGCAATATTTAGCTGTAGAGTATTGTGTGGGCTCTAGCAATATTTAGCTGTAGAGTATTGTGTGGGCTCTAGCAATATTTAGCTGTAGAGTATTGTGTGGGCTCTAGCAATATTTAGCTGTAGAGTATTGTGTGGGATCTAGCAATATTTAGCTGTAGAGTATTGTGTGGGCTCTAGCAATATTTAGCTGTAGAGTATTGTGTGGGCTCTAGCAATATTTAGCTGTAGAGTATTGTGTGGGCTCTAGCAATATTTAGCTGTAGAGTATTGTGTGGGCTCTAGCAATATTTAGCTGTAGAGTATTGTGTGGGCTCTAGCAATATTTAGCTGTAGAGTATTGTGTGGGCTCTAGCAATATTTAGCTGTAGAGTATTGTGTGGGCTCTAGCAATATTTAGCTGTAGAGTATTGTGTGGGCTCTAGCAATATTTAGCTGTAGAGTATTGTGTGGGCTCTAGCAATATTTAGCTGTAGAGTATTGTGTGGGCTCTAGCAATATTTAGCTGTAGAGTATTGTGTGGGCTCTAGCAATATTTAGCTGTAGAGTATTGTGTGGGCTCTAGCAATATTTAGCTGTAGAGTATTGTGTGGGCTCTAGCAATATTTAGCTGTAGAGTATTGTGTGGGCTCTAGCAATATTTAGCTGTAGAGTATTATGTGGGCTCTAGCAATATTTAGCTGTAGAGTATTGTGTGGGCTCTAGCAATATTTAGCTGTAGAGTATTGTGTACAGCGTGCATCAAAGACTGTCTGAAGGCATACCAGTAGACGTGTAGATTGGACTTTTTTTTATTTTCTATTAAAGTTTACACTTTTTCAACATGAATTCATTCCATCAATAGAATCTCTACAAGCGTGTGAGTGGGGACTATGGTTTATTCAATCTGCTGCTCAGATGGCACATACAATAGCTTCACTCTTCTAGACAGCTCGGCTGACCTAAGAAACACAACATAGAGACTTGCAGATTCAGGCGTGGTTTGTCGGTATCAAGAGTTCAAGACAAAACTGATTGATTGATTATTGATTGATCATTGATTGATTTTTGAACAGCCCAAATGATGAGGTCTATTGTGCAGATGACTGATGTCTACGAGTCTACTGAATTGTCTCTGTCTCTAGTGGAGCAGATATTTCGTGTTGAATGTAAGCATGGATGCCAGTATGCTGCAATCAGTTGAAAAATGACATTTTCCTTAAGCTCATTGAAGAAGGTGAGTTGATAGATACACTAGAGAGCCGCAGTAGATCGTCTGGCCTGGAGCTCGCGTCTGCCTGTCTACTCCAGTACAGGCTGAGCAGACGGCATGTCGCCTGCATCGCTGGTGCCAGTTGAGTTGTTCTGGAATACTGTTAGCCTGTTGAAAAATCGCTGAACCATCCAGGAAAGCCCCATGTTTAAAACATCCTAGAGAGAGGAGAAGCCAAGAAATAATCACACAAAGCTTGGATGTACGGACATCCTGGAGAGAGGAGAAGCACACATATAATCACACAAAGCTTGGATGTACAGACATCCTGGAGAGAGGAGAAGCACAGAAATAATCACACAAAGCTTGGATGTAAGGACATCCTGGAGAGAGGAGAAGCACATATAATCACACAAAGCTTGGATGTACAGACACTCCGTTTTTCCCTTCTGATAGCATCGAAACCTGTAAGCTAGACATTATAATCGTAACCAGACACCAATACAAACAAGCGGGCGATCTGAAATATGGACAGACAGTACATGTGTGATGTGTACACGCCTTGTAGAAGGATAGACGTGTGGCTAAACTGTGAGGGAGGATGATCTGTGTGTTAGAAACTGTGAGGGAGGATGGTCTATGTGTGAGGGAGGATGGTCTATGTGTGAGAGAGGATGGTCTATGTGTGAGAAACTGAGGGAGGATGGTCTGTGTGAGAAACTGTGAGGGAGGATGATCTGTGTGTGACAAACTGAGGGAGGATGATCTGTGTGTGAGAAACTGTGAGGGAGGATGATCTGTGTGTGAGAAACTGTGAGGGAGGATGATCTGTGTGTGAGAAACTGTGAGGGAGGATGATCTGTGTGTGAGAAACTGTGAGGGAGGATGGTCTGTGTGTGAGAAACTGTGAGGGAGGATGGTTTGTGTGTGAGAAACTGAGGGAGGATGGTCTGTGTGTGAGAAACTGTGAGGGAGGATGGTCTGTGTGTGAGAAACTGTGAGGGAGGATGGTCTGTGTGTGAGAAACTGAGGGAGGATGGTCTGTGTGTGAGAAACTGAGGGAGGATGGTCTGTGTGTGAGAAACTGTGAGGGAGGATGGTCTGTGTGTGAGAAACTGTGAGGGAGGATGGTCTGTGTTTGCCTACATGTTGGTAGCTATGTTAAAGCCGAGTTGTCAGAGAATGATGTGTCTGCCACAAGTGAGGATGAAGTGTGACAACTTACGAGGTCCATCATGTCCCCGTAATAGTGTACCCGCGGGGGTTCCACCTGACCAGTCGGCTGCCACTGGACATCGTGGTTGCTCGAAGACTTTTTCTTTGGCCGCTTTTCCTTCCGTCTAGGATGACCATGGCTCCCTATCCGTGTACCGGTAATGCCGTGTTTGGACTTCATCACCTCGTCGATATCTGTTGAAACTGAGCAGGTGGGGCTGGACTGTGTTTCCGGGTGGCCGCTCTTTCCGGTGCCTCGAATATAATCGTCAGCAGATTCCATTGAGGCAAGGGAGCGAACTGAGCCGCTTTCACGAACCTTTGAAACCTTATTTTTCTTTAGACCAACCACACCTATTTTGCCTTTTTTACCAGGATCAGTACCTTGAACTTTACCGTGATTGACAGCAGGCACGGACTTGGCGGGCCTAACACCCGTCTCCTGGGGCCCGCGGGGCTTGGGACCATACTCTGCAGCGTCAACCGAAGTCCCTTCAATAATTTCCTTGATGTCCACGGGCGATCCAACTTTTGCAATCATTTTCTTGGCTGATTTGTTGACCGGCGCTGAAACAAAGACGCCATTGAGCATTTGGTTGTACGAGATGGTATTCTTGCTGTTGAGGCTGCTGGTTTTGGGCGAGGCGGCGTTTGTCTTGAGTGGATAATGCAGATGGACATTGGAGCGCGAATTTTTCTTGATGTTATCTGACGAGTGACGCAGCTTGAGCTTCGCCTCCATCGGCCTTGTCGTTGTGTTCGTCTTGTCTACAGTGGCACGGTTTTGTTCTTCCTTTGTTTTCTTGGACCAGATGGGACGTTTTCTTCTTGGGGGTGTACTTTGAGACCGCGGCTCAACGTTGACCTTCTCCTCCGCTGTGTCAGATTTATCTATGGCGCCGCTGGGTTTCCTTGTTGGCTTGTTAGCAGGCTCAATTTCTGGCGATTGTTCATTCGATTCTTGGTTTGGATTCGTTTCTTCTCCCTCATCAATAGATTCTCCTGGGTCCACAGACTGGCCTTCGCCTCCCGTGCTTTTGGCCGACTCGATGTTTTCTGTGCTCTCTGAGAACTGCACTGATTTGCCTTGACCAGCCTTCTCCCGCTGAGAGGCGGCCTCACCTTTGATCTCCGTTTCACTGCCACTGCTGTAGACACTCTCGGCATCGGCCGGATTGTTGCGACACGCAGGCCGTCTTTGTTTTGTCTGATCAGCGTCGTGCGTGGGTTTAGCTTTAACGATCAAATACTTGAGCTTGTTCCTCCGCTGGATGAGCTTAGCCTTCTCGTCAGCCGCCTTTGTTTCTGCCGTCAGAGAACTGTTCCACCCCAACTCGGCTTTCTGAAGTTCTTTTTCTGATTTTTTTAACTTGGCCTTTTCAGCTTTGGTCTGAGCATCGTTAGAAGTAGCGCTGCTTGTGGGAATCGCCTCCAAGGAAGATTTACCAGACATCTTCGAGACCTCTGAAACCGTAGAAGATTTGATCTCTAGCGTGATTTCATCTTTGATTACTTTTCTCTCCTGTTTAGGACTAGAAGACTTCTCGGTGGGCGATTCCGTAGCATCTGTTTTCATTGCCATCTGAAGATTTTCTAAGGGGGCACTAGAAGAATGCTGCCACTTCTCGTTGGTCGCCATGGAGATGTTACTGCCACTTAGTTGAGCCAGATCGTTTTCAGATTTAGTTTTCTTTCTTTTCTTTTCACCAGTCTTTTTCTTCTTGCCTTTTTCTTTTTTAGGCGGCGAGACAGTGCTCGTCTCTTCACCATCTTTTACTTTTCTTTTTTTCACAGCACCAGGGCTGTGATGCCGTACGGGACTTTTTTTGGTGACGGAGATCGTGAGTAGCGTCTTGGTGTGGGACTGATCCTTTACTTTCTCCTGTTCACCCTTTTTCACCTTCTGCGCCTTTTTCTTTTTGGCTGTTTTTTTGTTGATACAAGTTTCACTCTTCTCTTTGGGACGACGTACGCTCCTCTCTTTTGAAGTCAGTGAGCTCGACCTTTCTATTTTTATGTCCAGATTCTCCATCGAATGTTCTGTGACCTGGTATGTTGGCTGAGGCTCGATGCTGCCCCCTTCTGTCAGCGGCTGGGCCGGTGAATAGACGCTGATTGTTGTCGAGGTTTCATGTGACGAGGGCAGGGCATCTTGCGACAGTTGATAGCCGTCGTCTTCTTTACACGCTGCACTCAGAAGGTCTTTGACCGCATCGAACCGGTGCTCCGACTCACAAGTTTTCAGGCCACCGCCATCTTTGTCCCCTGTCGACTCGAGGTGTCCCTTGCTGGCTAGGTAGCCCAGGCTCGTCTCAGACTTGTGCTTCGTCTTCTTGTCAACCCAGTCGAGCTTGTCTGTTCGGATAATGCGAGTGTGGCGCGGATTTTCTAACAAGTTTCTTTTATCACTTTCAAAATCACTGGCAACAGTTTTGACAAGTTCCCCAGATCCATGCAGTGGATTATGTTCGAGCTTATACTTATCAGTGAGAGGCTTGCGACCTTCTTTAACCACCGTGGTTGTTACCTTTTTTGATAAGCTGCTCTCAAATTTGATGTACAAAGCTTCGGTTGTTTTTGTCTTTTTTTTCCGCCTCATCGCAGCCGTGGACGGATCTTCCTTCTGTGTAGAGAGAGAGGAGACGTTACAAGAGGCGCCCTCCATTTGGGAACATTCATTATTTATAGCTGACGTCACATTTTGGGAGGGTTGGATTTCTGAGGGAAGTTTCGTTTCTTTGTTGCTTGACTCTAAACATTCTTCGGACTGAATTTGTTCCAAGTCTTTTCTTTGAAGTCTGCTTTGAATGGCTTCGTTACAAGCTTGCATGATGTTCTGCTTTCTTTCCTCCCAGCCTTCATTTTGAGTTTTACCAACGGCGGTATGTCCCCCATCCCCATCGGATGGTTGCACGACGCTGTCAATAGTGTCTTCGTTACAGGCGGCCGTCGTGCTTTGAGAATCATCGATGACTTTGATATCTTGAGTGCTGAAGTACTTCTCATTGCTACAGAGACTGGCGCTCGCACTATCCACAGCTTCTTTGCTTTCATCTGGGTCAGCAGTGCCAGCGTTGGTGTTCATGTTGAGCTGACAGGACGGGGACAGATGGCTCCGCACATTTCTAATCAACTTTGAGGACCTGCGTCTTTTCATGCCAACCTTATAGCTCAAACATGTATGACAGACTTTCTGTTCACTAGGATAATATTTAGTTGCATTCCCCTTTGTGTTGTCGCTTTTATTTTCATTCGAGTTTTTATTTTTTGTTCTCTTGGCCAAGCGATCTGTTGTCTGTTTTTTGTTTGATTCCCCCTCGCCTTTCTCTGTCCTCCCCAGCGGCTCGTAGTAATACAGGATGTACTTTTTGGATCCAGGCTTGGTTTTGGCACATTTCACCGGTCTCTGTCTGACGCGCTTGTGTATGGAATGTTTTCTGGCATCATACTGCAGTTCATTGTCAGTGGAGGGGCATTTGTTCGGGTACACTTCATGGCAGCCGTGAGTTTTTTTCTCACGTTTTGAACGCCGCTTTAAAAGCTTATCTTTCGATGTGTCGTAACTTCGATCAGCTGATCTCATACGGTTCATTTTTTTGATGATCATCAACTGCTTTGCGCGGCTTTTATCACCAGTACTTTTGGTCTTTCTTTTCTTGATTATTTCGTTGGACGTTTGCTTCTCAACAAGCGGGTAGACATTTTCATCGACTTTATTAAACATTTGCACGTTTTCCAAATCTAGCAGCGAGTTTTTGTTGTCATACAGACCACTTTGAGCCTTAAAGACGGGGGAGGGGATCGTCCTCTCTTGTGGCCAGCTCTCCACTTCTGCTACTGTTGTCTCCGAACTGCTGCTACAGCGCCGGATGTGATAACCGAATGGCGGCGGCGCCATCGCTGGGGATATAAGCTCTTTGTCTTTCCGGTTACGAATATATCCGTTGTGGTAAAGTTTCTGGACACAGGCCAACAGACGGGCGTCAAAATTCAGCTGTCCTTGATCCATCTGCCCGTCTAAGTACGGCGCCAATGTGTTAGGCATAGCAGGGGAAGGTGCAATCGTGGAGACGGCCTGCTGTGTGGCGGGCTGGACGGTACTTCTAGCGTAAACAGCGTCTTCTATCGGAGCTCGCTTCTCTGTCTGTTGAGTTTTATCATCGGCAACCTGAGCTTCCTTGGATTGGACATGTTCTGTAGACTGCCGGTGTAGCGGGTAGTTAGGCAGCACATCGTGCATAGATGGGCACTGGGTTGAGATGCAGGTAGACATAGTGTGAGTCAGTCTTGGACCTACATGAGTGGAAGGGGATGGAGAAATCTGCGTGCCTGCATCACGCGAGGCCGCGCACGTGCTCTTGTTTCTAAAGACCGCCTGCTGAAGTTGAAGTGGTCGTCTACTCTCCTCACTAGTGCAGCGTTGGTACATTCTGCTGCCGGAACGGTTGACGTTGCCCGGCTTGTAGTCTGAAAAGTGAGGCTCGTTTGCTGGAAAATATTGATGCTGGTTATTTAGGTTAGAGAAAATCCGAACCTTATCCGCGGGCAATTTGCTGTCAGCGTAGAAATCTCGAGCAACTGTGGTGTCAACGCCCTCAGACATGTAGGTGCCGTAAAGCTGCTGGCCGCCGGTCCGTGGTGCCCCGTCTGTACAGGGGAATCGTGGGCGGAGTCCCTGGCAGCTGGGGAATATATAATACATTGTTATAAGCTGTAGGATATTATAAAGGTTACAGAGTTTGTTATAAGCTGCTAGCTGTAGGATATAACGGTTAGAGAGTTTGTTATAAGCTGTAGGATATAAAGGTTACAGAGTTTGTTATAAGCTGTAGGATATAAAGGTTACAGAGTTTGTTATAAGCTGTAGGATATAAAGGTTACAGAGTTTGTTATAAGCTGTAGGATATAAAGGTTACAGAGTTTGTTATAAGCTGTAGGATATAAAGTTTACAGAGTTTGTTATAAGCTGCTAGCTGTAGGATATAACGGTTAGAGAGTTTGTTATAAGCTGTAGGATATAAAGGTTACAGAGTTTGTTATAAGCTGCTAGCTGTAGGATATAAAGGTTACAGAGTTTGTTATAAGCTGCTAGCTGTAGGATATAAAGGTTACAGAGTTTGTTATAAGCTGCTAGCTGTAGGATATAAAGGTTACAGAGTTTGTTATAAGCTGCTAGCTGTAGGATATAAAGGTTACAGAGTTTGTTATAAGCTGCTAGCTGTAGGATATAAAGGTTACAGAGTTTGTTATAAGCTGCTAGCTGTAGGATATAAAGGTTACAGAGTTTGTTATAAGCTGCTAGCTGTAGGATATAAAGATTACAGAGTTTGTTATAAGCTGCTAGCTGTAGGATATAAAGGTTACAGAGTTTGTTATAAGCTGCTAGCTGTAGGATATAAAGGTTACAGAGTTTGTTATAAGCTGCTAGCTGTAGGATATAAAGGTTACAGAGTTTGTTATAAGCTGCTAGCTGTAGGATATAAAGATTACAGAGTTTGTTATAAGCTGCTAGCTGTAGGATATAAAGGTTACAGAGTTTGTTATAAGCTGCTAGCTGTAGGATATAAAGGTTACAGAGTTTGTTATAAGCTGCTAGCTGTAGGATATAAAGGTTACAGAGTTTGTTATAAGCTGTTAGATGTAGGCAACAGTCGGTTCTAAGCATTATACACCTTTTAAAAAGTCAATATGTTAGAAACGTTCAACAACAAAAATGCTCTGATTTTTTCCAACATATGGGACGTCGTGGTCGGATGGTAGAAACAACGACTGCTATCCCGAAAATCAGGGTTCGGACTTTGATGTCTACCTGAAACACGTTAGTGGAAGTAGAAGCTGGAAGGTGTGTGCTGACCAAACAAGGCGTGCATAAACTGAGCTCACACAAGTCGTGCATAAACTGAGCTCACACAAAGCGTGCATAAACTGAGCTCACACAAAGCGTGCATAAACTGAGCTCACACAAGGCGTGCATAAACTGAGCTCACACAAGCATGTGCTCTGTTTTATAGGGTCCATGGATCACCAGAGAAACTTGACTCCCTATTATGACGTCAGACATACAGTTACAACCAGATGTACGTCTTACCTGTGACCAGTGTGGCCTTCTAATGTTGCCTGTAGTGAAAAGAACTGCTCTTCCCTAGCTGCAGGCTGGTTAGGGTTAGTGTGGCCTTCTAATGTTACCTGTAGTGAAAAGAACTGCTCTTCCCTAGCTGCAGGCTAGGCTAGGGTTAGGATTAGTGTGGCCTTCTAATGTTACCTGTAGTGAAAAGAACTGCTCTTCCCTAGCTGCAGGCTAGGCTAGGGTTAGGATTAGTGTGGCCTTCTAATGTTACCTGTAGTGAAAAGAACTGCTCTTCCCTAGCTGCAGGCTGGTTAGGGTTAGTGTGGCCTTCTAATGTTACCTGTAGTGAAAAGAACTGCTCTTCCCTAGCTGCAGGCTAGGCTAGGGTTAGGATTAGTGTGGCCTTCTAATGTTAACTGTAGTGAAAAGAACTGCTCTTCCCTAGCTGCAGGCTAGGCTAGGGTTAGGGTTAGTGTGGCCTTCTAATGTTACCTGTAGTGAAAAGAACTGCTCTTCCCTAGCTGCAGGCTAGGCTAGGGTTAGGATTAGTGTGGCCTTCTAATGTTACCTGTAGTGAAAAGAACTGCTCTTCCCTAGCTGCAGGCTGGTTAGGGTTAGTGTGGCCTTCTAATGTTACCTGTAGTGAAAAGAACTGCTCTTCCCTAGCTGCAGGCTAGGCTAGGGTTAGGATTAGTGTGGCCTTCTAATGTTACCTGTAGTGAAAAGAACTGCTCTTCCCTAGCTGCAGGCTAGGTTAGGGTTAGTGTGGCCTTCTAATGTTACCTGTAGTGAAAAGAACTGCTCTTCCCTAGCTGCAGGCTAGGCTAGGGTTAGGATTAGTGTGGCCTTCTAATGTTACCTGTAGTGAAAAGAACTGCTCTTCCCTAGCTGCAGGCTGGTTAGGGTTAGTGTGGCCTAATGTTACCTGTAGTGAAAAGAACTGCTCTTCCCAAGCTGTAGGCTAGGCTAGGGTTAGGATTAGTGTGGCCTTCTAATGTTACCTGTAGTGAAAAGAACTGCTCTTCCCTAGCTGCAGGCTAGGTTAGGGTTAGTGTGGCCTTCTAATGTTACCTGTAGTGAAAAGAACTGCTCTTCCCTAGCTGCAGGCTAGGCTAGGGTTAGGATTAGTGTGGCCTTCTAATGTTACCTGTAGTGAAAAGAACTGCTCTTCCCTAGCTGCAGGCTGGTTAGGATTAGTGTGGCCTTCTAATGTTACCTGTAGTGAAAAGAACTGCTCTTCCCTAGCTGCAGGCTGGTTAGGGTTAGTGTGGCCTTCTAATGTTACCTGTAGTGAAAAGAACTGCTCTTCCCTAGCTGCAGGCTAGGTTAGGGTTAGTGTGGCCTTCTAATGTTACCTGTAGTGAAAAGAACTGCTCTTCCCTAGCTGCAGGCTAGGTTAGGGTTAGGATTAGTGTGGCCTAATGTTACCTGTAGTGAAAAGAACTGCTCTTCCCAAGCTGCAGGCAGGGTTAGGGTTAGTGTGGCCTAATGTTACCTGTAGTGAAAAGAACTGCTCTTCCCTAGCTGCAGGCTAGGTTAGGGTTAGTGTGGCCTTCTAATGTTACCTGTAGTGAAAAGAACTGCTCTTCCCTAGCTGCAGGCTAGGCTAGGGTTAGGATTAGTGTGGCCTTCTAATGTTACCTGTAGTGAAAAGAACTGCTCTTCCCTAGCTGCAGGCTGGTTAGGATTAGTGTGGCCTAATGTTACCTGTAGTGAAAAGAACTGCTCTTCCCTAGCTGCAGGCTAGGTTAGGGTTAGTGTGGCCTTCTAATGTTACCTGTAGTGAAAAGAACTGCTCTTCCCTAGCTGCAGGCTAGGCTAGGGTTAGGATTAGTGTGGCCTTCTAATGTTACCTGTAGTGAAAAGAACTGCTCTTCCCTAGCTGCAGGCTGGTTAGGATTAGTGTGGCCTAATGTTACCTGTAGTGAAAAGAACTGCTCTTCCCAAGCTGCAGGCTGGTTAGGATTAGTGTGGCCTAATGTTACCTGTAGTGAAAAGAACTGCTCTTCCCTAGCTGCAGGCTCCTCTCATTGCTTTTGCCCCTCTGGGTCAGTCCACGGTTGCCGCCATCTTTAAAGTGATGTGTCAGGGTCTCGGAAGGGTCGGGTCTGGTGGTCTCGACCCGGCTGGCGTTTGTGTTGCAGCGGTCGTCTGGCTCTGGTGCCATGCGGGTCTCACGGCGCAGCTTGCTGGACACATCACGGCCGTCGGCTGGAGCTTCGGCACCTTGGTTTCTGACCAGACCATTTCCAGTGACGTAGATTCGACGCGGCATCACGTTGTTGTTGTTCTCCAGTAGACTGGAGCCTTGCGCTCCACATTTGGTGAGCGGGCCTGGTGCAGGCGTGAAGCTGGGCTTGTTTGGTCCTGTGGGCTTGTTTGGTCCTGTGGGCTTGTAGCTGGTGTCTGCGGCTGTTGAGGGCGAGTTCACGCTTGATTCTTGTGTTGTTGATGGATCTACATAGGGTGGGGGCTGGGGTGGGCGTTTGGCCACTCGCTCAAAGACTTTCTGCTGCTGAAAAGTTTTTCTGGACTGTGCTGGGAGATCTAATCCTTTAGGCCCGTGACGTGTTGAGCTCATTTGTTTCTTCCCTTCTGAAACAAACGCTCAGATTGTTCTGACTTCTGTATTCAAATACATTCAAATGTATTGACAGCAATTTTTTTTTAATGAAAAAATATTTTCCTTACCCACTTTACTGGATTCTCTCATCTCAGCAATCTCTCTTCTAAATCTAAACAGGCAGGTAATGTGAATAACATAAGCTAACAGAATGCCGCAAATAAATCCATTGAAGATAGAATCATTGAAGGCCGACTGTCACACGGTCAAGATAGGAAAAAAATTATTTCATTTTCAAAAATTACAAGGAAGGATTATGTTAAACAAAACCTTAGTGAGACAAAAAATATCTAAACATACAAAGTAGACAAAAACAGAGATGCAGTGAAACTCAAATGCTGCTAACCCGAAGATCTCGTGTTCGAATCCAGATTCAAGTCAATAGAACGTCCTTGAGTCCACCCAGCTGTTCACAGATGTAGCCTGGGTGGCAGATTTGAACACACTTGCTTCGATGGCAACTACTAACACAGCTAGCATGGTTGGTAGCCATTAATTTACACAGGTAGCACAGGGTAGCTATTGACTAACACAGCTAGCATGGTTGGTAGCCATTAATTACACAGTTAGCACAGGGTAGCTATAAACTAACACAGCTAGCATGGTTGGTAGCCATTAATTACACAGTTAGCACAGGGTAGCTATTGAATAGCACAGCTAGCATGGTTGGTAGCCATTAATTACACAGTTAGCACAGGGTATCTATTCAATAACACAGGTAGCATGGTTGGTAGCCATTAATTTACACAGGTAGCATATGGTAGCCATAGACTAACACAGCTAGCATGGTTGGTAGCCATTAATTACACAGTTAGCACAGGGTAGCTATTGAATAGCACAGCTAGCATGGTTGGTAGCCATTAATTACACAGTTAGCACAGGGTAGCTATAGACTAACACAGGTAGCATGGTTGGTAGCCATTAATTTACACAGGTAGCATAGGGTAGCTATTGACTAACACAGGTAGCATGGTTGGTAGCCATTAATTTACACAGGTAGCATAGGGTAGCTATTGAATAACACAGCTAGCATGGTTGGTAGCCATTAACTTACACAGGTAGCATAGGGTAGCTATAGACTAACACAGCTAGCATGGTTGGTAGCCATTAACTTACACATGTAGCATAGGGTAGCTATTGACTAACACAGGTAGCATGGTTGGTAGCCATTAATTTACACAGGTAGCATAGGGTAGCTATTGACCAACAGGTAGCATGGTTGGTAGCCATTAACTTACACATGTAGCATAGGGTAGCTTTTGACCAACAAAGGTAGCATGGTTGGTAGCCATTAACTTACACAGGTAGCACAGGGTAGCTATTGACTAACACAGCTAGCATGGTTGGTAGCCATTAATTACACAGTTAGCACAGGGTATCTATTCAATAACACAGGTAGCATGGTTGGTAGCCATTAATTTACACAGGTAGCATAGGGTAGCTATAGACTAACACAGCTAGCATGGTTGGTAGCCATTAATTACACAGTTAGCATAGGGTAGCTATTGAATAACACAGCTAGCATGGTTGGTAGCCATTAATTTACACAGGTAGCACAGGGTAGCTATAGATTAACACAGGTTGCATGGTTGGTAGCCATTAATTTACACAGGTAGCATAGGGTAGCTATTGTTTAACACATGTAGGCTTGTAGGTAGCTACTAGTCTCCAGGGTGGTAGCTGTAATGTAACATGACTCACCCACGTCTTACCTGCTGTGGGTTCGAGTCTGTGTAGCTGGGTACGCCCCTGTCCACCTGCCGCGGCTCACCTGTGTGAGGAAATAAAACCTGAGGGCTACTCACTTCCAACTGACATGGGACTTTTCAAATGTTGTGTGCACGGACAAATATTTTGGTCAGTTTCAAATTATCATTTCTAATTAAGTCTAGAATCTAGATCTAGTTCTAAAATATTATATTATAAACCTGGTTTATTTTTCTGAATTAATCACATAAATTCAGGTTCAGTCCGTCGTATGTAGGCCTAGGGCTAATCTACTAGGAAGGTCTGGTAACTTTCTTTACTTCTCAAGTGGGGATATAGATCTAGGTATACAAGCATTTCTTTTAACAAAAGTTTTGTCAAAAACACAATGGCGCAAGACGTATTTAAATATTTCACACAATTTTCTGTTTAAAATAGATTCTAGATCTATTCTAGACAAGTAGGATAAAAGAAAATCTCGTAGGTAGGGCCGGTTGATATGTACCATATCTAACTACTGTAGATGGGTGACACTTTTGTTTACATATGTATAACGTTGAAGCGGGATAACTCAGCGTAATTGTTTACAATATCTAATCTACTAGATCTATATAAATGTGTGTGTGTGAATGGGGGGAGGGGGGACATACTTGAGGTATGACTTAACTAATTCAAAACACGGTAGATCTAGTGTCATTCAGTGATAGATTCTAGATCTACTCTAGATCTATATTATGCAATTTGTTCTACTGGTAACTGAACGATTTAGACAGTAAAGTTAGAAATATAAAGAAAATATAATTACTTGCGACGTTGGAATGCTCTGATTGGAAACTTACATTTCCATTGAATTGCTTATTTACATTAGACGATGAAATAATATTTATAAAGATGAAAGACACCCACTACCATTGTTGTCCGGATGACGTTAATCCTCTCAATATGACGTCAGTACACAGTTCGTTCTACTGAAGGTGCGCACCACTTTTGAAACACATTTGTGGAAGTACCAGTGTACACAAAAAGCGTGTGTTCCAGTGTCCCATTCATCGTACCATTCCCAATGTTTGTTCAAGTTCTCGACAATCTATTCGATTCATGTGCTCGATTATGTGTGCGTGTGGGTCGAAAATACTAGCTTACCCGTCATTGCGAAAACAGAGAGCAAGGTCTTAATTGTATCTTCTTACATAATATGATACATTGTTTTCTTACATACTAAATAGTGAGTGATTTCAAGGAAAGGTTGGGATAGTTGATTGACATATAGGTTTATATACCGGGTAGGCTACTGTTCGATTCTTTATTTCGTTTTGTACAGCACTCAGCGTAAAAGATTTTGCTTCTTAAACTTAAAATGTGCGACTCGCCATAAAATAATTTTTAGAATATGAAACAAATGGATGGGGTCAATTGAAAAGGAACGAAAACATTTGAGTGTGTAAACTGTAGTATAGTGGTCGCCATATCTAGTTTAAAAATTTCCTGGAAAAATCCCCAAAAATTTTTTTTCTCAATGATAAAATATTTCAACACTAAAAGAGCCAGCATTAGGAAATATTTTAATTTCAAGTGCTTAGGAGGAAATTAGTTGAGTACAGAGGCGTAGCAAGAGGGGGGGGGGGGGCGGGGGGCGGCTCGCACAGGGTGTAAACCTGCTAATGATAAAGAAAACATGCAACATCCAGCTGAATTTATAACCGAATATAGATATAAATCATGGTATTATCTTAGCACAGTTTAAAGCAATCACCGTGAGGTGACAAGGGGGGGGGGGGGGAGTTACATAAACTCAACGTTGCAATATATACCTGAGGAAAACGGTTTGGTTGAGAATCGTAATAACTTATATGTTAATCCATGTATGGGAGGGGATTAAATACGCCCAGATGAAAAAAAACATTTGAATATATATACACATGGGTATACACATACTTACAAGTGTATATGGAATGAATATATATATATATATATATATATATATATATATATATATATATATATATATATATATATATATATATATATATATATATATATATATATATATTGTTTTCCTTACGGGGGGTGGGGGGGGGGTGGGAGGCCGCACCGGTTGACACCCGACCTCGCTACGCCACTCACTGGTTGAGTAATCCATAAATTAAAATATTCGGGAGAAATTTTGTTAGTCTGTCATGATTTTTTTCCCTACAGTTTTGTCTTTGTCGAAAAAATACAGAACTTTAAATTTTCGGGAGTTATACTAAACAAAAGACTTCTTGCAATGTATGCCAACAAAAATTGTAAAAAAGAAATAAAAAACTACATGAGTGTGAAAAAGCAGGGAAAAAAGACGTAACGCTGTTCCCATATAGCTAGGCTGTAAAGCCGATTGAAACCACTGAAATATTTTGTCTGAGATACTTTGACGGAGATCTTTGTTCGTGCCACCATTTACATCAGCTTGTGATCATTAAATATATTGTAGGTTGTTTCAACCCTATCTGCGCCATGTGTGTACTTGATCGCCGTTAATCAAAGCTTCTGTACACAATGATCTGTCGCTCATGTAGAAGGATAGGGGGGAATTTGGGACATTGGACATTGTGGCTGTAGGACATTGTGGCTGTAGGACATTGTGGCTGTAGGACATTGTGGCTGAAGGACATTGTGGCTGTAGGACATTGTGCCTGTAGGACATTGTGGCTGTAGGACATTGTGCCTGTAGGACATTGTGGCTGCAGGACATTGTGGCTGCAGGACATTGTGGCTGTAGGACATTGTGGCTGTAGGACATTGTGGCTGTAGGACAGTGTGGCTGTAGGACAGTGTGGCTGTAGGACATTGTGGCTGCAGGACATTGTGGCTGCAGGACATTGTGGCTGCAGGACATTGTGGCTGTAGGACATTGTGGCTGTAGGACATTGTGGCTGAAGGACATTGCGGCTGTAGGACATTGTGGCTGTAGGACATTGTGGCTGTAGGACATTGTGGCTGTAGGACAGTGTGGCTGTAGGACAGTGTGGCTGTAGGACATTGTGGCTGTAGGAAGCCTCTCATCAAACTATAACAACAAATTTTGAGAGTCTAGAACTCACCAGCCGGGGATTTTCGTCTCTCTGTATTATCACTGCTTTGTTGCGCCTCTCTGCCTCGCTCTACACTTTGTTGGGCCTCTCTACCCCGCTCTACAACTTTGTCCCGCCTAAGTATCTCGTCATTACGCTCCTCATTCACCCATTCATCATCTTCCGTCTTTCGAACAACCCTGTCATTGCCGTGTCTGGCACTTCCCCTGTCGTCTCTCGGACCATTGTTCTTGTTCCCTTTCTGCTGTTGGTACCCTGGCTGAGTTGACTTCTCGTCGTTTGACTAGACAGGAAGAAAATAAACATATACAGACACTAGACACATTCGTGACTTTACAGACACTAGACACGTTGGTGGCTTTACGGAAAATGCACCATTAGCTACTACAGTTGTGATATAAATACTCGGCACCATTAGCTACTACAGTTGTGATATAAATATACAGCACCATTAGCTACTACAGTTGTGATATAAATATACGGCACCATTAGCTACAACAATTGAGATATAAATACTCGGCACTATTAGCTACTGCAGTTGTGATATAAATACTCGGCACCATTAGCTACTGCAGTTGAGATATAAATAGACGACACCATTAGCTACTACAGTTGTGATATAAATTGACGGCACCACTAGCTACTACAGTTGATATAAATTGACTGCACCACTAGCTACTACAGTTGTGATATAAATAGACTGCACCATTAGCTACTACAGTTGTGATATAAATTGACGGCACCATTAGCTACTACAGTTGTGATATAAATTGACGGCACCATTAGCTACTACAGTTGTGATATAAATTGACTGCACCATTAGCTACTACAGTTGTGATATAAATTGACGGCACCATTAGCTACTACAGTTGTGATATAAATATACGGCACCATTAGCTACTACAGTTGTGATATAAATTGACTGCACCATTAGCTACTACAGTTGTGATATAAATTGACGGCACCATTAGCTACTACAGTTGCGATATAAATTGACGGCACCATTAGCTACTACAGTTGTGATATAAATAGACGGCACCATTAGCTACTACAGTTGTGATATAAATAGACTGCACCATTAGCTACTACAGTTGTGATATAAATTGACGGCACCATTAGCTACTACAGTTGTGATATAAATATACGGCACCATTAGCTACTACAGTTGTGATATAAATTGACTGCACCATTAGCTACTACAGTTGTGATATAAATTGACGGCACCATTAGCTACTACAGTTGCGATATAAATTGACGGCACCATTATCTACTACAGTTGTGATATAAATTGACTGCACCATTAGCTACTACAGTTGTGATATAAATTGACGGCACCATTAGCTACTACAGTTGATATAAATTGACGGCACCATTAGCTACTACAGTTGTGATATAAATTGACGGCACCATTAGCTACTACAGTTGTGATATAAATTGACGGCACCACTAGCTACTACAGTTGTGATATAAATTAACTGCACCATTAGCTACTACAGTTGTGATATAAATTGACGGCACCACTAGCTACTACAGTTGTGATATAAATTGACTGCACCATTAGCTACTACAGTTGTGATATAAATAGACGACACCATTAGCTACTACAGTTGTGATATAAATTGACGGCACCATTAGCTACTACAGTTGTGATATAAATTGACGGCACCACTAGCTACTACAGTTGTGATATAAATTAACTGCACCATTAGCTACTACAGTTGTGATATAAATTGACGGCACCACTAGCTACTACAGTTGTGATATAAATTGACTGCACCATTAGCTACTACAGTTGTGATATAAATTGACTGCACCATTAGCTACTACAGTTGTGATATAAATTGACGGCACCACTAGCTACTACAGTTGTGATATAAATTAACTGCACCATTAGCTACTACAGTTGATATAAATTGACGGCACCACTAGCTACTACAGTTGATATAAATTGACGGCACCACTAGCTACTACAGTTGATATAAATTGACGGCACCACTAGCTACTACAGTTGATATAAATTGACGGCACCACTAGCTACTACAGTTGTGATATAAATTGACGGCACCATTAGCTACTACAGTTGATATAAATTGACGGCACCACTAGCTACTACAGTTGATATAAATTGACGGCACCACTAGCTACTACAGTTGTGATATAAATTGACGGCACCATTAGCTACTACAGTTGTGATATAAATTGACGGCACCACTAGCTACTACAGTTGTGATATAAATTGACGGCACCACTAGCTACTACAGTTGTGATATAAATTGACGGCACCACTAGCTACTACAGTTGTGATATAAATTAACTGCACCATTAGCTACTACAGTTGTGATATAAATTGACGGCACCACTAGCTACTACAGTTGTGATATAAATTGACTGCACCATTAGCTACTACAGTTGTGATATAAATTGACGGCACCATTAGCTACTACAGTTGATATAAATTGACGGCACCACTAGCTACTACAGTTGTGATATAAATTAACTGCACCATTAGCTACTACAGTTGATATAAATTGACGGCACCATTAGCTACTACAGTTGTGATATAAATTAACTGCACCATTAGCTACTACAGTTTTGATATAAATTGACGGCACCATTAGCTACTACAGTTGATATAAATTGACGGCACCACTAGCTACTACAGTTGATATAAATTGACTGCACCACTAGCTACTACAGTTGTGATATAAATTGACGGCACCATTAGCTACTACAGTTGTGATATAAATTGACGGCACCATTAGCTACTACAGTTGTGATATAAATTGACGGCACCATTAGCTACTACAGTTGTGATATAAATTGACGGCACCACTAGCTACTACAGTTGTGATATAAATTGACGGCACCATTAGCTACTACAGTTGTGATATAAATTGACGGCACCATTAGCTACTACAGTTGTGATATAAATTGACGGCACCATTAGCTACTACAGTTGTGATATAAATTGACGGCACCATTAGCTACTACAGTTGTGATATAAATTGACTGCACCATTAGATACTACAGTTGATATAAATTGACTGCACCATTAGCTACTACAGTTGCGATATAAATTGACGGCACCATTAGCTACTACAGTTGTGATATAAATATACGGCACCATTAGCTACTACAGTTGTGATATAAATTGACGGCACCATTAGCTACTACAGTTGTGATATAAATTGACGGCACCATTAGCTACTACAGTTGTGATATAAATTGACTGCACCATTAGATACTACAGTTGATATAAATTGACTGCACCATTAGCTACTACAGTTGCGATATAAATTGACGGTAAGACATTACAATATCTAACCTGTCTTTTGGTCGAATCGTCTCTCAAATTTGTGCTTTTTTTTGGTGCGACTGGATTTGTACTCTTAATTTTAGATCTGAAAATGAAATGTATATGAGTTTGTACGTCTTGATTGAAATATAAAATGAAAGTTTGAAAACAAAATTTGATTGGAAACAGATTCATTTAGGGCAGGGGTCTCCAAACTTTTTAGTCCGAGGGCCGCATTAAATATCAAATTTCAGTTCGGGGGCCAGTTTCTTCCAGGCATGTCTTTGATTTTTCTGGGCTAAGTTCCTCAACCATCACCAACAAACTGTTTTTCCGTGGACAAAAGGATCTCCGTGGGCCGGATGAGAGGACATCGCGGGCCGAATCTGGCCCGTGGTCCGTAGTTTGGAGACCCCTGTTTTAGGGTATAAATATCATTTTCAAATGTATAATTGAATACCTATTTTGGAACTTTTATTTAGAGAATTTAGTTCAATATATTTTTATAGGAAACATTCAAAATTTACACACAACATCTATGGTAGGTTATGGACATATTTAAAATGAAGTTTGCATCCTATAAAAATTATTGATAATAATAGGGTCTACAGGCAAAACTGAACTGACAAAACCATTGATAAGACTGTGTGCTAGAGCCTAGCATTCCACTAGAAGCACTTCACCAATCGACTGGCACCTACCGGGGACTGGCAGTCTCTGTCGGCTTGCTTGTTGGACTTTCTGGTAAACCGAACAAGCTGAAAAACAGACGTCGGTTTACTTCAGGCTTAGTTTGGATTCTTTGGTGTTTTTTTTTAAAGAAAATTTATTTTATAAGATTTTTGTGACAAAAACAATTAGCGTGACGGAGCTTAAATCATGAGTAAAAATTATGAAGACAGTTCTCGTTTTTGTGAATAATAGCTTGTGCAGTAAGCTTTGGTAAAGTGGATTGCCCACAACCAGAGGCGTAGCGAGGGGGTCGGGAGGTGCGGATCGCACCGGGTGACACCATTTAGGGGGGGGGTGACACAAAGGCACAAAATATCAAAATATGTACAGAAAATTGAAAATTTCACTTAATTAAACGATTAATTAGAATGAATTAAATATTCTTTTAAAAGGAAAGTGGACAAATCCCGACAAAGGTGGAGGGGGGGGGGTGACACAATGACGTAAACCTGCTAATGATAAAGAAAACATGCAACATCCAGCTGAATTTATAACGAAATATATATACAAATCGTTAGTATTATATGAGCACAGTTGAAAGCAATCACCGGGTGAGTAACCGAGGGGGGGGGGGGGGAGTTACATCAACTCAACGTTGTAATATGTATGCCTGAGGAAAACGGTTTGGTTGAGAATCGTAGTAAGCCGTATGTTAATCCATGTATGGTAGTGGGGGTAAAAAAATTAAATACATCCAGCAGAAAAAAAGTTATTCGAATACATATACACATACTTACAAGTGTATATATATATATATATATATATATATATAAATATAAATATATATATATATATATATATATATATATATATATATATATATATATATATATAATATATATATATATATATATATATATATATATATATATATATATATATATATATATATATATATATATATATATATATATATATATATATATATAATTTTTTTTCCAAGGGAGGGAGGGGGTGACACCAACAGGTGCCGATCAGGGTGACACCCGACCTCGCTACGCCACTGCCCACAACATGTGTACAGAAAGTGGATCGCCCACAAAATAAGTGTACGGAAAGTGGACTAACCTGGCAAAAGAGAACGAAAGCACCTGTGCTGCGAACAGAAACATGAGCACTAACAGCAGCGCTCTGGCAGCGTTCATGGCCTCAAATACATGGCCTTGACCTCATCCGATCCGTCGACGTCACATAATTTTTACATCAGCTCTTCCACACATCCTATCCTGTAATGGACATAAAATGATTAAAGGACATTAACCCCCGTCAATACACCACCCTGGATATTACCCCTTGTCATTAACCCTGGAGGAATGACCTCCCTGTCAATGACCTCACTTTCAATGACCTCCCTGTCAATGATCTCCTGTCAATGATCTCCTGTCAATGACCTCCCTGTCAATGACCTCCCTGTCAATGATCTCCTGTCAATGACCTCCCTGTCAATGACCTCACTGTCAATGACCTCCTGTCAATGACCTCCCTGTCAATGACCTCACTGTCAATGACCTCCCTGTCAATGACCTCCCTGTCAATGACCTCACTGTCAATGACCTCCCTGTCAATGACCTCACTGTCAATGACCTCCCTGTCAATGATCTCCTGTCAATGACCTCCCTGTCAATGACCTCACTGTCAATGACCTCCCTGTCAATGATCTCCTGTCAATGACCTACGTGTCAATGACCTCCCTGTCAATGACCTCCCTGTCAATGACCTCCCTGTCAATGACCTCACTGTAAATGACCTCCCTGTCCATGACCTCCCTGTCCATGACCTCCCTGTCAATGACCTCCCTGTCAATGACCTCCCTGTTAATGACCTCACTGTCAATGACCTCCCTGTCAATGACCTCCCTGTGAATGACCTCCCTGTCAATAACCTCCCTGTCGATGACCTCCTGTCGATGACCTCCCTGTAAATTACTAGTGCTTGTGATACGTGTAAGATATGGAGATGGATATGAGTAGCGATATGTATAGATATCATTTGTCTCATTGGGACGAACCTTGATACACCTAACATGTAGCAGCTGGTGTGATTGGATGATTAACTCTATCTATTTCATAAGTAACAATTTAGAAACGTTTAATAAATTGTGTATTGTTCATTTGAGGGGGGGGGGGGAATGTTCTAGAATCTAGATTCAATAATACTAATACTACTACTACTAGTACTAACAATAATAATAATAAACTTCTGCAGAAAAGATGTAATGAAAGAATCTAAACCATAAGGTATAAACGAGTTCGTGTAAAGTAGGTGTGGAACATATTAACCAGGTGAAAACATGAAATAAATGTATCACATATTATATAAACTCATTCGAAACACATTGACCATCGGGTCCTCACAATCGAATACCAAAAGGGATATAACCAAGCTTATGTGATTTTGACAAGAAAAATATTACTAGCGTTGCTTCCCCTAGACCTTTATTGCTTCTATCAGTATCATTCCAGCACAGGACTATGACCTACACATCTTTTTCAAAATGGGCGTCAATTGATCGGCAGTGTTGGGATGGGCAGTTGTGAGCTCCACGGCTCAGCATCTGGTGTCCATAGATTGGGTACCCTGCATCTGGTGTCCGTAGATTGGGTACCCTGCATCTGGTGTCCGTAGATTGGGTACCCTGCATCTGGTGTCCGTAGATTGGGTACCCTGCATCTGGTGTCCATAGATTGGGTACCCTGCATCTGGTGTCCATAGATTGGGTACCCTGCATCTGGTGTCCGTAGATTGGGTACCCTGCATCTGGTGTCCGTAGATTGGGTACCCTGCATCTGGTGTCCGTAGATTGGGTACCCTGCATCTGTTGTCCGTAGATTGGGTACCCTGCATCTGGTGTCCGTAGATTGGGTACCCTGCATCTGGTGTCCGTAGATTGGGTACCCTGCATCTGGTGTCCATAGATTGGGTACCCTGCATCTGGTGTCCATAGATTGGGTACCCTGCATCTGGTGTCCGTAGATTGGGTACCCTGCATCTGGTGTCCATAGATTGGGTACCCTGCATCTGGTGTCCGTAGATTGGGTACCCTGCATCTGGTGTCCATAGATTGGGTACCCTGCATCTGGTGTCCGTAGATTGGGTACCCTGCATCTGGTGTCCATAGATTGGGTACCCTGCATCTGGTGTCCATAGATTGGGTACCCTGCATCTGGTGTCCGTAGATTGGGTACCCTGCATCTGTTGTCCGTAGATTGGGTACCCTGCATCTGGTGTCCTTAGATTGGGTACCCTGCATCTGGTGTACGTAGATTGGGTACCCTGCATCTGGTGTCCGTAGATTGGGTACCCTGCATCTGGTGTCCGTAGATTGGGTACCCTGCATCTGGTGTCCGTAGATTGGGTACCCTGCATCTGGTGTCCGTAGATTGGGTACCCTGCATCTGGTGTCCGTAGATTGGGTACCCTGCATCTGGTGTCCGTAGATTGGGTACCCTGCATCTGGTGTCCATAGATTGGGTACCCTGCATCTGGTGTCCGTAGATTGGGTACCCTGCATCTGGTGTCCGTAGATTGGGTACACTGCATCTGGTGTCCGTAGATTGGGTACCCTGCATCTGGTGTCCGTAGATTGGGTACCCTGCACAGGTCCTGGAACTACTTGAATCAACGGTCTAACTGCAGCAGGAGCGTCTACTGGTGCATAGTGTCCTGTGTCCAGGGGAGCTACGGGCTTCGAATGAGCCTGCTGCGCCTACATTTGTTTTAAAGAGCGCAATACACTTTTGTTGCGGTGGGCTGCAACAATCGATTACTAAATTGATTAAGGCGTCGCACCCTGTGCCCCTGCGGTAGTGTAAGTGGTGGCTCCCTACAGCCACTATGGACGCCTCAGACACGCGTCTACAGAGTATAGATACTTATTTATCAGTAACGTTTGAAAGTCAGAGCTGGCTAGACTTTTGGACGTCCTACAGCCTTGTTCTTGAATATAACTCGAGCTAGAAGTTGTGTGTCCTACCACTTGACTAGGCCGTACAACAATTAAAAAACTGAAACTCAGGCTAAAGCTTGTATATATATATATATATATATATATATATATATATATATATATATATATATATATATATATATATATATATATATATATATATATATATTACATAACGTAACATTATATAATATCTTATAACAAACATATTTAAAAAGCATTTTCTATGCAGACATCGGTGTTGCTAACTTGGAAGAATAAGCTTCTAGTTTGAAAACAACAAAAATTCGCACATTGATTAATTATTAATTAATTCCAACGTGTAAACATATGTTGATACGCCACTTTGGCCTACCCAGTTCAGATCTAACTTTGAATCTATTAGAGTTCACTAGAGTGGTGTGAATTATGTTGATTTATTCAATGGACTTAACCGAGATGACTAGAATCCTTCCATTATTATTGTTGACATGGATTAAAAATTTGTTCCGTTTTTAGATTTTGTCATCAAAGCAACCATAAAAATATTTTAAAAATCTTAACCCTGAAATAATTCAGAAATTTAATATTTTTAGAGTCAATGTTGAAATTTTTTGCAGATGTATATATATATATATTTTGCTTTTAAGGCTAGATCTACATTTATTTTTATCAAGCCTGAATTATAACCTGAAGTTTCACTTTCATAAAACAAACATTGATTGGCTGTACACAGGAACTCCACGATCGATATTCTAAAACCCCCACTTCATAGTAATTTGTTATCAATAATCTTAGATGACATACTTCTACCATTTTGTTTACATTTTCTGTGGTAAAAAAATGTAAACAACCAAATAGTTTTTGGTTCTTTTAAAACTGTGTTTAGCAAACAATTTCGAGACCCCTCTCAATTGAGTCCAGTACTATAAATGTAATCTATCTACAATGAGTAGAATTTTACCAACTTTTATCTTTACTTTTACCTGACGGCATGAAGTATATTCCCAGTACTATAGATTAGAAAATAAATACCTTAAAGTATGATGACGCACTGAAACACGAAATAAAACTTGTGTAGCCGCTTGATTTGTATTGTGTTGAGTTATCTTTCTTATAACCACTTCCTGTTTCACTCAAAGTTTTTTTAGGTGCCGCACTACTTTTAGTGTAGGGCGTGTGCAACCTTTGATGTGTAGCCTTGCTTTTAAGTGCAGGCTATGTGCAATATATGATGTGTAGTCTCGCTGTTAAGTGAACGATATGGGCAATCTATGATGCGTAGTCTTGTTTTTAAGTGCAGGATATGTGCAATGTAGGATGTGTAGCCTAGTTTACAGACAACATTAAGTAGTGTATGAATACTGTATTCTAAACTTGTCTACTTCTGGTTAGTTCAATGGTTGTGCCCATCATACATAACTCAGCATTAATTAGATACTTGTTTGACAAATCAATGAGAAGTAGATCTACTATCTGCATCTGTCGTATTAATACAAATACAATTCCCGACTCTTCCAGACATTTAATGACATTATCATGTACACCAACTCCACATGGGAATATGTACACACACTCCACATGGGAATATGTACACACACTCCACATGGGGATATGTACACACACTCCACATGGGCATATGTACACACACTCCACATAAGAATATGTACACACACACTTCACACTTGGGAATATGTACACACACTCCACATGGGAATATGTACATACACTCCACATAAGAATATGTACCCACACACTTCACATGTGGGAATATGTACACACACTCCACATGAGAATATGTACACACACTCCACATGGCAATATGTACACACACCCAACATGGGAATATGTACACACACACTTCACACTTGGGAATATGTACACACACTCCACATGGGAATATGTACACACACTCCACATGGGGATATGTACATACACTCCACATGGGAATATGTACACACACTCCTCATGGGAATATGTACACAATCTCCACATGGGAATATGTACATACACTCCACATGGGGATATGTACACACACTCCACATGGGAATATGTACACACTCCACATGGGAATATGTACACACACTCCACATGGGAATATGTACACAAACTCTACATGGGAATATGTGCATATGGCATCCATAAGGTCACAGGATATACATTAATACATAACTGTTGCTAGTCTACACATATGGCATCCATACGGTCATATGATATACATAACATCACGTGGCCGTTTGAAAGGTAATTAAAAACAGACACAATTATCTGATTACAAAAATCTAGCTTTTATTGAGATATAATTGAACCAATGAAATAAGAATACATGAACACAAGTCTCCCACACAAAATCAAGTTTTCACCATCAGAATGTCGGCCATCCTCCACCCAAAGATTTGTGAACACCAGCTGTTGTTTTTTTTTACATTTTGGGTCAAGTGTCTCATTATACCATTAACATTTTAAAAAAAAATTGTTTTAGGCTAATGTTGCGTCAGCTGTGGGCAGTTGTTTTGGACTAGAATTGTGTCAGTAGTCAGTTGTTTTAGGCTAGAATTGTGTCAGTAGTCAGTTGTTTTGGGCTAGAATTGTGTCAGTAGTCAGTTGTTTTGGGCTAGAATTGTGTCAGTAATCAGTTGTTTTGGGCTAGAATTGTGTCAGTAATCAGTTGTTTTAGGCTAGAATTGTGTCAGTAGTCAGTTGTTTTAGGCTAGAATTGTGTCAGTAGTCAGTTGTTTTAGGCTAGAATTGTGTCAGTAGTCAGTTGTTTTAGGCTAGAATTGTGTCAGTAGTCAGTTGTTTTAGGCTAGAATTGTGTCAGTAGTCAGTTGTTTTAGGCATGAATTGTGTCAGTAGTCAGTTGTTTTAGGCTAGAATTGTGTCAGTAGTCAGTTGTTTTGGGCTAGAATTGTGTCAGTAGTCAGTTGTTTTAGGCTAGAATTGTGTCGGTAGTCAGTTGTTTTAGGTATGAATTGTGTCAGAAGTCAGTTGTTTTAGTCTAGAACTGTGTCAGTAGTAAGTTGTTTTAGGCTAGAATTGTGTCAGAAGTCAGTTGTTTTAGGCTAGTGTTGTGTCAGTAGTCAGTTGTTTTAGGCTAGAATTGTGTCAGTAGTCAGTTGTTTTAGGCTAGAATTGTGTCAGTAGTCAGTTGTTTTAGGCTAGAATTGTGTCAGTAGTCAGTTGTTTTAGGCATGAATTGTGTCAGTAGTCAGTTGTTTTAGGCTAGAATTGTGTCAGTAGTCAGTTGTTTTGGGCTAGAATTGTGTCAGTAGTCAGTTGTTTTAGGCTAGAATTGTGTCGGTAGTCAGTTGTTTTAGGTATGAATTGTGTCAGAAGTCAGTTGTTTTAGTCTAGAACTGTGTCAGTAGTAAGTTGTTTTAGGCTAGAATTGTGTCAGAAGTCAGTTGTTTTAGGCTAGTGTTGTGTCAGTAGTCAGTTGTTTTAGGCTAGAATTGTGTCAGTAATCAGTTGTTTTGGGCTAGAATTGTGTCAGAAGTCAGTTGTTTTAGGCTAGAATTGTGTCAGTAGTCAGTTGTTTTAGGCTAGAATTGTGTCAGTAGTCAGTTGTTTTAGGCTAGAATTGTGTCAGTAGTCAGTTGTTTTAGGCTAGAATTGTGTCAGTAGTCAGTTGTTTTAGGCTAGAATTGTGTCAGTAATCAGTTTTGTGTAGATCCAGCGTACTCATCGATAGAAATACTATTGTATTGACATACATTAGTAAGGATAATCTCAAGTCTAACAAAATGTTCTGAAGTTATCTCAAATTAGAAAAGTAAATGATTGATGCTAAGCTACACATTTTAATACAAGCTGATGTACAGCTAAAGTCTTTCCTACTTCTATCTTTATCCAACCAATTCCCTACAACATTACCGTTTACCAAAGCTGACAGTGGCTAGAGTTAAGAATTATAAAATGTTTTGTGAGCCCTCTCTGAATGGATAACAGTAAACTTATATACAGCTATCACAATCAATTATAATCATCATTAGTAGTAAATATAAAACAATCACAATAATAGTAATCCATCATAAAAGTAAATACAAAGCAATCACAATCCATTATAAACCATCATAAGCAGTAAATAGAAGCATCCGTGTTGAAAGATACTTAACAACCAGGTTTACAGCTATAAACACTGTGTCGACACAATACACACATTCTACACTGATATAATAAATAGTAAACAAACACAAGCAACACAGCCAGTTATAATCATAACAATCCTGACATTCAGAAAACATTACAAACAAATCTTTATAAACTTAACAATCGGAACTGTCTTAACAATCATAATTTATGAGAATCCAGAAAAAGGAAGTTAAAAAATATTTAAATGACAAAACAATTTTAATACATAGCGATTCGGCCATCGGGAAATTAAGATCTTAGTCAGTCCTTGCATCAGTAGTCCACACAACGACACTAGTCAGTACTCTCTACCCTAGAGTCTGCGTTCATATATCGACACTAGTCAGTACTCTCTACCCTAGAGTCTGTCCCGTTTTACTCACATCAGTTCATAGTTGCTAACTGCTAGACTTAAATGCCTCTTACAAAATGATGAATATGCTGACTCCTAATGACCTTGGAATGACGTCAATGTTTCCACGAAAGTGATGAACCTGTTGACCTTCACACCTCTTAATGACCTAAAAATGACTTTAATGTCTCAACGAAAGTGATGAATGTGTTGACATTCAGACCTCCAAATGACCTTGGAATGACCTCAATAGACTGGGCAACATTCAGACCTCCGCATTTGTCCCCACAAGGGTAAATGAGTTTACCCTTAAGCCTCGTGATGACCTTGATAACCTTGGGATGTGCTTGGGGCGTCCACGTAAAGGTTGACAAAGGCGTAGGGCGTTGGTGAGGCCCGTGGGTGCACCTCCACCCTGTGTCTGTCAGTCTCGTTGTCATAGTTACTGATGGCGTCATCCTGAGCCGTGTCTTCCCTGTGTACAATGTTGGGCAGCCACATGTTTTTTCTGTGGAGAAATTTCAGGTCAGTTGGAGAGAACTTGAAGTTAAAGCTTGAAGATGTCAAGTTAAAGCTTGAAGATGTCAAGTTAAAGCTTGAAGATGTCAAGTTAAAGCTTGAAGATGTCAAGTTAAAGCTTGAAGATGTCAAGTTAAAGCTTGAAGATGCCAAGTTAAAGCTTGAAGATGTCAAGTTAAAGCTTGAAGATGTTAAGTTAAAGCTTGAAGATGTCAAGTTAAAGCTTGAAGATGTCAAGTTAAAGCTTGAAGATGTCAAGTTAAAGCTTGAAGATGTCAAGTTAAAGCTTGAACATGCCAAGTTAAAGCTTGAAGATGTCAAGTTAAAGCTTGAAGATGTCAAGTTAAAGCTTGAAGATGCCAAGTTAAAGCTTGAAGATGTCAAGTTAAAGCTTGAAGATGTCAAGTTAAAGCTTGAAGATGTCAAGTTAAAGTTTAAAGGTGTCAAGTTAAAGCTCACATGAAAACCGGACTGCCGGTTCTAATACGTATAACCACTCACCTGACGACCAGACTGCCGGTTCTAGTACGTATAACCACTCACCTGACGACCGGCTCTAGCACTAGTCTGACCACTCACCTGACGACCGGCTCTAGCACTAGTCTGACCACTCACCTGACGACCGGACTGCCGGCTTCAGCACTAGTCTGACCACTTACCTGACGACCGGACTGCCGGTTCTAGCACTAATCTGACCACTCACCTGACAACCGGACTGCCGGTTCTAGCACTAGTCTAACCACTCACCTGACAACCGGACTGCCGGCTCTAGCACTAGTCTAACTACTCACCTGACGACCGGACTGCCGGCTTCAGCACTAGTCTGACCACTCACCTGACGACCGGACTGCCGGCTCTAGCACTAGTCTGACCACTCACCTGACGACCGGACTGCCGGCTCTAGCACTAGTCTGACCACTCACCTGACGACCGGACTGCCGGCCTCACCGTCCGAACTGGCCGAAGATCTGACGCTGGAGAAGTGGTCGTATCCCCTGGAGCCCCGCACGGTGAAGGTCTGAGACAGGAGGTAGTCCCACACAGTGGGCTGGGGCTTGCCCACGATCCTCAGGTGGCGTTTTCTGGAGGATATAGAGTTTTATTTAGCAAGGGGGCGGGGTTGGTGGGGTGTTCATGATCTTCTCCTTATACAACGTAAGACACGACAGCTGCTTAAGGCAGACTCGACCCATGACCAACGACCCATGACCCATACCCCACGACCCACGACCCATACCCCACGACCCATGACCCATACCCCACGACTCACGTATATTAAACAGTTGTGATTTTAGAAAGCTACCTAATGTTCAAGAACTAAAGCTTAACTAATAGCAAACACATGTGTATGGTAATACACCATTTACAGCCGTTGTGAGAGTTACGTGAGTGGGTTTGAGAGTTATTGTGACTATATAGCAATAATAATGTAACTGTGATCAGACGTCTAATGTAACTATTATATAAAAGCTATTGTAACTATATAACTATGATATATGTAGCATGATATAGCAGCTTATGTAGCCATGACTGTAGCATGATATAACAGTCTATGTAGCCATGACTGTGTAACTGTGATATAACAGCCTATGTAGCCATGACTGTAGCCTGATATAACAGCCTATGTAGCCATGACTGTAGCATGATATAACAACCTATGTAGCCATGACTGTAGCCTGATATAACAGCCTATGTAGCCATGACTGTAGCATGATATAACAACCTATGTAGCCATGACTGTGTAGCCATGACTGTAGCATGCTATAACAGCCCATGTAGCCATGACTGTAGCATGCTATAACAGCCTATGTAGCCATGACTGTAGCATGCTATAACAGCCCATGTAGCCATGACTGTAGCTTGATATAATAGTCTATGTAGCCATGACTGTAGCTTGATATAACAACCTATGTAGCCATGACTGTGTAGCCATGACTGTAGCATGATATAACAGTCTATGTAGCCATGACTGTAGCCTGATATAATAGTCTATGTAGCCATGACTGTAGCTTGATATAACAACCTATGTAGCCATGACTGTGTAGCCATGACTGTAGCATGCTATAACAGCCCATGTAGCCATGACTGTAGCATGCTATAACAGCCTATGTAGCCATGACTGTAGCATGCTATAACAGCCCATGTAGCCATGACTGTAGCTTGATATAACAGCCCATGTAGCCATGACTGTGTGCTAGCTGCCCTGTACTCACCTGCCCCAATAGAAGATGAAGGCTACCAGTGTCAAGAACATCCCTAGCGATCCCCCTATGATGGCACCAACCATGGCATTACTCACTGAGGACAAATGTTTACACATGAATGACTTTTTAACACACCACAAGAAATATTTACACATGAATGACTATTTAACACACCACAACAAATGTTTACACATGAATGACTTTTTAACACACCACAACAAATGTTTACACATGATTGACTTTTTAACACACCACAACAAATGTTTACACATGATTGACTTTTTAACACACCACAACAAATGTTTACACATGAATGACTTTTTAACACACCACAACAAATGTTTACACATGATTGACTTTTTAACACACCACAACAAATGTTTACACATGATTGACTTTTTAACACACCACAACAAATGTTTACACATGAATGACTTTTTAACACACCACAACAAATGTTTACACATGATTGACTTTTTAACACACCACGACAAATGTTTACACATGAATGACTACTTAACACACCACAACAAATGTTTACACATGATTGACTTTTTAACACACCACAACAAATGTTTACACATGATTGACTTTTTAACACACCACGACAAATGTTTCCACATGATTGACTTTTTAACACACCACAACAAATGTTTACACATGATTGACTTTTTAACACACCACAACAAATGTTTACACATGATTGACTTTTTAACACACCACAACAAATGTTTACACATGATTGAGTTTTTCAACAGCTCACGCCATAGTTAGAAACGTGAATCGTTCACATCGTAATCCATGACCGAAACATTTCGATCTATGTAGGGTAGTTAACATTATAACATGCCGCCATGCCCTAATTGTCACTCAGGAGGTGAGGTTCGAGGGATGGACCCCAAACTTCTCCCCTCCCACCACAGTTCACACGTTTCCACAAAATTCGACATTGGATTCCCCCCCCCCCCCCCCCACCTCGACGTCATAAATGGATGACCCCTAACCAATGAATTCTAACACTAGGCCAGCTCAAGATTGACGTGTCTGGTCAAGATTGATGTGTCTAGTTAACATTCATGTGTCTAGTCAAGATTGTCTAGTCAAGATTGCCGTGTCTAGTCAAGATTGATGTGTCTAGTCAAGATTGACGTGTCTGGTCAAGATTGACGTGTCAATCAAGATTGACGTGTCTAGTTAAGATTGACGTGTCAGTCAAGATTGACGTGTCAATCAAGATTGACGTGTCTGGTCAAGATTGACGTGTCAATCAAGATTGACGTGTCTAGTCAAGATTGACGTGTCAATCAAGATTGACGTGTCAATCAAGATTGGCGTGTCTAGTCAAGATTGACATGTCCGGTCAAGACTGACGTGTCAGTCAAGATTGCCTTACATTCCTCCTCTGATTTGGCCGATTGTCTCTCTGTGCTGAAGGCACTGAGTGCTGGCTGGGTGTGGTTGTACACTCGTCCTGTGCTGTTCCGTGCCACAGTCGACTGCTGTGTGGGGGCTTGTGAGGGGGTTTGGTCTGTGGGGAGTGGAGTGGGGAACGGATGTGTGGGAGGTTGGGTTGTAAGGGGCTGTAACAATGTTGATTTATAGCCTGTAGGCTTATTGTTCGTTGCGACAGTTGTAGATTCAGTTGTCGATGCAGCAGTTGTTGGCCAGGCTGTCGTAGGCCATGCTGTTGTGCTGTTTGTGATCAGCTGATTTCTGTCGATAGTTTTAATACTAGTGGTTGTTGTTTCAGCTGCCGTTGTTATACCTGGTAGACAAAATGTTAAAAGAAACTAAGATTGTAAGCCAAACAAAACAAAATGAAAAGTGGTCGTAACTCGCTTGTATAAAAAAAAATTAAAAAAAAATTGTAAGCCAAATGAAAATAAATTTGAAGCCAAACGATACACCTTTTTAGCCTAATAAAAATAAAATGTAACAAACAAAAACAAAATAAATTATAAATCAAATAAAAACAAATTGTAAGCCAAAATAAAATTTAAAAAAAAAACGTAAGCCAAACGAAAATAATTTTTTTTAAAGTGAGCCAAACGAGAATTTTTAAAAATTAATTTAAAGCCAAACGAAAACACGCCAGCTAAAGTTGTAAGCCATACGAAAACAAAATGTAAATACATTGTATATTCTCTACCAAATGTAAATAAAACAAAAATAAAATATAAGCCAAACGAAAATAAAACGAAAACAAATTATAAGCCAAACGGAAACTATTAAAATAAAAGGTAAGCCAAAATAAAAATAAATAGTAGGCCAAAATGAGAGAAAAAATTAAATGTTAGGTAAACGCCAACAAAATGCCCCCTAAAACCAGAGCACTGACCTAGGCACCTGTACTCCATCAGCATGTAGTTGGAGTTCTGTGGGTAGGTGTCCTGGTCGCACTCCTTGTTGGCGTTGGACCAGGTGGAGGCCACGGTACACCTGGCATTGTTGTTGCACACGACGTAGGCGCTGTCTGCCACGCGCATCATACAGTCCTGCAATGTAGGTCAACACGTTGGTTTAGTTATGTATCTTTTTGCATAAGCAAAACCAATACTAACTCAGGGCGACATTTTCTTCAAATATCGTAACAAATTTACTTTCATCAGAAAAAAACTTTGATATTAGTAGAGATAATATTTCGATGATAGTATAACACATATGTTTCTGGCTAGTATTAGAGAGAACGTTTCTGGCTAGTATTAGAGAGATAGTGTTTCTGTGCAGGCAACTTGCGAGCAGTAAGCGATGACGGCTATTGTAAACTCTGCAGATTTGTTGATGTTTGTGGTGTCATTATGACAAACGACAAAACGAGAAACATATCCATAAAATGTTAATTAATAACGACTTAGTCGAGTGTTACTTAAAAACTCTACAATCAGACATGATATATATATATATATATATATATATATATATATATATATATATATATATATATATATATAAGCTATATCCTAACTCAGGGGTCGGCAACCTGTTGAAGCGAAAGAGCCAAAAGTTACAATTTCCAAAATTTCCCTGGTTTTAAAGAGCCACTAACATTTTTTTCATTTCAAATATTTTATGTTTTTATTAAGATTATTAGTATTTATTTAAGGAGCTGGAGAGCCGCATCTTGATATCTAAAGAGCCGCATGCGGCTCGCGAGCCGCAGGTTGCCGACCCCTGTCCTAACTGAGTAATTTAGTCTACTTCTTTGCAATATATAACCATTCTGAGAGAACAAAATAGAAAACATTTAGTCAAAACTCTTCTTAAGCTATAAGTGTTTCAAAACATGCTGGTCAGAAATATATAAAGACATTAGCTTGATTCGTGAATGGTTTCTCGCGTTATGTTTATTTTTTTCATTTTTGGCTTTTGTAATATCAATTTTGAAAACATTGATTTTTATAGCTATACTATTGTATAGTACGTCTTATTTAAATAACAATTCAGAGATTCAATTACTTTTTAATATACATAGTACAAAACTATTCAAATGAGCTTCGTGGGCATCCCTATTTTAAAGAAGGGCAGTAAGTCATGGAAGTAGTGTGAATGTTTACCTACCTTTCAAACTATAGCTCTTGTAGATTTTAAAATATTTTTCTACGCAACAATCTCTGCTATAGTAGACTTTTTTTTTTTTTTTTTTTTTTTTTTTAGCGCAATTTCCATTCTGGAGAATTGCGTTTATTAACCCGTCATTTCTGGATGTATGAATGTATGAATGAATGGATGGATGTGTGTCCGCAGCTTTAAGTCGTATCTCCTCCTCAACGAAGCAATATCGATGACTAGTTCCAAAAGCAATTATGTTAAGCAAGTTACGAGGATGAACATAGGCCATAAAAATTACGGGTTTCTTTCATGGATTTCCCGGAAAAGCCAAAAAACCTCGAAAAAAAGCAGTTTTTGGCCCATATCTCGGCGACCAGACCACTTAGCGACTTGAAACATGTACCAATCGATTCCTGCCATAATTTAAAACAATATTGCCGAAGAAAGTTTTCAAAAATATCCTTTCGTTCGGTCACAAAAATTTTTTTGAATTAATTAAAATTTGGACCGAATTAGTAGGCATTTTTTCCAACCACACCACACGCGTCATCACGTTCAATAGCTGCGCCATCGCGTTCCATGGCTGCGCCATCACGTTCAGTAGGCGCGCAATGGTTTTTAGTCATGTAACTCTTTTGTAAATAAAACGTAAAATACTGAAATTTTTTAAAATAAAAAACGTTCTAATAACTAACCAATGGTTTTACTAACCCTGCTCTTGATTTACGCTACGACAGAGCTATTTTTAGATAACATAAGGAAATTGCGCTAAAATTGTCACTAGACTTTTTAAATAACTTGTTTTTTTTTTTTTTTTATTTTTTTTTTTACAAAAACCACGTTCAAGATGCATGAAAAACATAATTTTCGAAAAAAAAATTCATTGTTTTTTGGTCGGAACTGGGCCCCTAAACGTCCTCGGCCCCCCCCCCCCCCCCCCCCGCATTGCGGGGTCTGGCGGTATGGTAGTTCCGCCCCTGGTCTAGAGTGGACGTGTTACTTACAGAGGGTGATCCTATTGCCCTTTAGAGTGGACGTGTTACTTATAGTGGGGATCCTGTTGCCCTTTGGTCTAGAGTGGACGTGCTACTTACAGAGGGGATCCTGTTGCCCTTTAGAGTGGACGTGCTACTTACAGAGGGGGATCCTATTGCCCTTTGGTCTAGAGTGGACGTGTTACTTACAGAGGGTGATCCTATTGCCCTTTAGAGTGGACGTGTTACTTACAGAGGGGGATCCTATTGCCCTTTGGTCTAGAGTGGACGTGTTACTTACAGAGGGTGATCCTATTGCCCTTTAGAGTGGACGTGTTACTTACAGAGGGGGATCCTATTGCCCTTTGGTCTAGAGTGGACGTGTTACTTACAGAGGGGGATCCTATTGCCCTTTGGTCTAGAGTGGACGTGTTACTTACAGAGGGTGATCCTATTGCCCTTTAGAGTGGACGTGTTACTTACAGAGGGGATCCTGTTGCCCTTTGGTCTAGAGTGGACGTGTTACTTACAGAGGGGGATCCTGTTGCCCTTTGGTCTAGAGTGGACGTGCTACTTTCAGAGGGGGATCCTATTGCCCTTTAGAGTGGACGTGTTACTTACAGAGGGGGATCCTATTGCCCTTTAGAGTGGACGTGTAACTTACAGAGGGGATCCTGTTGCCCTTTGGTCTAGAGTGGACGTGTTACTTACAGAGGGGGATCCTATTGCCCTTTAGAGTGGACGTGTTACTTACAGAGGGGATCCTGTTGCCCTTTGGTCTAGAGTGGACGTGTTACTTACAGAGGGGGATCCTATTGCCCTTTAGAGTGGACGTGTTACTTACAGAGGGGATCCTGTTGCCCTTTGGTCTAGAGTGGACGTGTTACTTACAGAGGGGATCCTGTTGCCCTTTGGTCTAGAGTGGACGTGTTACTTACAGAGGGGGATCCTATTGCCCTTTAGAGTGGACGTGTTACTTACAGAGGGGATCCTGTTGCCCTTTAGATTGGACGTGTTACTTACAGAGGGGATCCTGTTGCCCTTTGGTCTAGAGTGGACGTGTTACTTACAGAGGGGGATCCTATTGCCCTTTAGAGTGGACGTGTTACTTACAGAGGGGATCCCGTTGCCCTTTGGTCTAGAGTGGACGTGTTACTTACAGAGGGGATCCTGTTGCCCTTTGGTCTAGAGTGGACGTGTTACTTACAGAGGGGGATCCTATTGCCCTTTAGAGTGGACGTGTTACTTACAGAGGGGATCCTGTTGCCCTTTGGTCTAGAGTGGACGTGTTACTTACAGAGGGGATCCTGTTGCCCTTTGGTCTAGAGTGGACGTGTTACTTACAGAGGGGGATCCTATTGCCCTTTAGAGTGGACGTGTTACTTACAGAGGGGGATCCTATTGCCCTTTAGAGTGGACGTGTTACTTACAGAGGGGATCCTGTTGCCCTTTGGTCTAGAGTGGACGTGTTACTTACAGAGGGGATCCTGTTGCCCTTTGGTCTAGAGTGGACGTGTTACTTACAGAGGGGGATCCTATTGCCCTTTAGAGTGGACGTGTTACTTACAGAGGGGATCCTGTTGCCCTTTGGTCTAGAGTGGACGTGTTACTTACAGAGGGGATCCTGTTGCCCTTTGGTCTAGAGTGGACGTGTTACTTACAGAGGGGATCCTATTGCCCTTTAGAGTGGACGTGTTACTTACAGAGGGGATCCTGTTGCCCTTTGGTCTAAAGTGGACGTGCTACTTACAGAGGGGATCCTGTTGCCCTTTGGTCTAGAGTGAGTGAACGTGTTACTTACAGAGGGGATCCTGTTGCCCTTTGGTCTAGATCGGACATGCTACTTACAGAGGGGATCCTGTTGCAGCACTCCTTGTTGTAAGTGTCCACGCTAGCTGGACTGGTACAGTTGTAGGACTTGGCCCGCGTGCCGTGGTAGACATTGATGACTTGGATCTTCCCGCTCTCCCCACAGTCCAGTCGTAGGTAGTTGTTGATGTTTCCATAGCAGGCAGCCGCTGGGGACACGCGTGGGGGTAGGGGGGGGGGGGTAGGTAAAGATGGGTGGACACATTACACACATATTCAGAGGGGGGGGGGGGAGGTAAAGATAAGTGGACACAATACACACATATTTGGGGTGAGGGGGGAGTGTAAGGACAAGTAGACACAATACACACATATCGGGGGGGGGGATAGTTACAAATGGGTGGACATATTTAGCACAAACAGTAGTAGCAGTTTAAATAAAAGATTGTACGAGATCTTAAATCTGGTCTTGTTTGTTCATTTTATTTATACATTTATTCCAGTATTTAATTTGTAATACACATTTCAATGTAATAACAGAAGCTACGCCTACTCATTCAGTAAGTCACATAGACGAATTTACTCAGAGAACCAGATAAATTCTGATAGATCTAGATCTATGTTGTAAGCTAGCTGTATGTATACAATCACTGATTAAAACGTCCTGATGACGTGGCTAGAACTCACCAATCAGGAGACCCGACTGACTGGCTACTGGACTTAGGGTGGACGTGAGGACCAGAAGTATCAGCCATACAGCAGAGGTAGGGGGCAGAGCTTCTGGAGACACGGGGCTACAGATCATTCTAGAACACGCATGGTCAGCTTCATTCAGCACCACCAAATGTTCCAGCACACTCGTCAGATTAATGGTCTAACAATCGTCCGTCATCCAACACACTAGTCTTAAAAAAAAAAACAATGACAATACTGTGATTTAATCTCTGTCCGTCGATGATGTTGATGGTCTGTCTAATCGACCCACAGAATAGTCCACAATATCCAGCAGAAATATAACACATTAAGTCCTTACACTTAAGCTAATGTTACTTCACACATTAAGTCCGTATACTTAAACTAATGATACCTCACAAATTGAATCAGTACACTTAAACTAATGTTACCTCACAAATTAAATCGGTACACTTAAAATAATGATACATCACAAATTGAGTCCGTATACTTAAACTAATGATACCTCACAAATTGAGTACGTAAACTAATGTTACATCACAAATGAAGTCCGTACACTTAAACTAATGTTACTTCACAAATTAAGTCCGTACACTTAAACTAATGTTACATCACAAATGAAGTCCGTACACTTAAACTAATGTTACTTCACAAATTAAGTCCGTACACTTAAACTAATGTTACATCACAAATGAAGTCCGTACACTTAAACTAATGTTACACCAGTGAAAGAGAAAATGGTAGTGTCGGCCATGCTAAGATTGTGCCAATGACAGTTGACATCTAGTGACAGACACCGATGGTGTAGCTAGACCGCAGCATCACCACCTCAGTCCTCTGTTGACTGCAGACAAACCAAGCGGCCCGTGTTTGGTCAGCTCAGGACGTGTTCACATCGAACTAGTCCCAGGTATCGCCGTTACCTGGCTGGGGTAACCATCACAGGAGCAGAGTGATGTGAAGGCGCCGCTAGGCCCGAACATTGAGTAAAATCAAACAGAAAATTGAATGAATTACGCAGCTTTAGGGGCATCAAGGGAAAACATCGTGTGGATAGGTGAGTCGCTGGGGTTGGTGTGTTGATAGACGAGGGTTGGGTTTGGTGTGTTGATAGACGAGGGTTGGGTTTAGTGTGTTGATAGACAACGGTTGGGTTTGGTGTGTTGATAGACGAGGGCTGGGTTTGGTGTGTTGATAGACGAGGGTTGGGTTTAGTGTGTTGATAGACAACGGTTGGGTTTGGTGTGTTGATAGATGAGGGCTGGGTTTGGTGTGTTGATAGACGAGGGTTGGGTTTAGTGTGTTGATAGACGAGGGCTGGGTTTGGTGTGTTGATAGATGAGGGTTGGGTTTGGTGTGTTGATAGACGAGGGTTGGGTTTAGTGTGTTGATAGACGAGGGTTGGGTTTGGTGTGTTGATAGACGAGGGTTGGGTTTAGTGTGTTGATAGATGAGGGTTGGGTTTAGTGTGTTGATAGACGAGGGTTGGGTTTGGTGTGTTGATAGATGAGGGTTGGGTTTAGTGTGTTGATGGATGAGGGTTGGGTTTAGTGTGTTGATAGACGAGGGTTGGGTTTGGTGTGTTGATAGCTGGTGGATGATTAGGTGTGTTATAAAATGAGGGATGGGATAGAGTCTAATAGAAAAGGGGTTGGTTTAGGAGTGTTAATATACGATGAGGGCTGGGCTGGTATAATAGACAAGGTGTATGTTTATAAAACAGGTTATGGGTGGGGTAAACGGGCGAAGGATGGTTCTGTGTGTGGATAGAATCATGGGATGGTTTAGGTATGTCAGTAGGTGTTATAATGTTTAGGTCAGCCAATTTTAGAATTAAATTTTGGAATGAAACAGATTTATAAAGGATCGTTTTGTTTGGAGACAACTTAATGTTGATACCAGTTTTGTTTGGTGATATTGTCCATAACGTTGACAACAGTTTTTAAGGTGATGTTGTACTTGATGCTGATAACATTTTACTTTCTCGTTTATACGAAGTATAGAGAAAGTCTTGTAATCGTGCAAAAAAAAAATCGAGATTTTTGCAAATCTCGACGTTTTACACCTCACTGATACGGAAAAAAATAATTTTGCAATCTTGTCCGTATTTCTGTGTGTGTGTCTGTGTGAGTGTCTGTGTGTGTGTAAACACGATAACTTTTTCAAAAGCCTATAACTTGAGTACTATTTCAGATAGATAAATGAAATTTCACATGTAAGTAAAAGATCTAATTCTCTAACTTCTTTCAAATTTTGAGTAATTTCCGTTGAACGGAAGTACTAATTTACGCTATTTCCGGTTTCTCAAAAAACGCATGTAAATTTATAAAGTACTAATAATATTGCGCACTATTATGCACATTTTGTTTTGGCGTTCGCTTGGTGCGCAATTCTTTTTTCTACTAGATTTTATTCTATTTTTAAAAGTTTAAGTAAACAAAAATCATGTCTATACTCCGAGTTGCCATCCCACGTAGTGTTATATTAGAATATTCGAGAAAGTTTAGGGGAGATCACTCCCGGTTTATTGTTGAAGTTACTGAAATATTTTATTCTACGCAAAACTAGGAGCAATACAAATATTTGAAGAAAAAAAATGTTTTGGAACATTTGTGTTGGGACTGTCTGTCACCTCGATTAGAGGAGGAAGAATTTGACTGACGACAGTCTGTCAAGTTATGATGCACAAACTTGCTGTATGAATCATTAGACTGATGACTGTCTGTCAAGGTATGATGGACAAACTTGCTGGATGAATCATCAGACTGACGACAGTCTGTCAAAGTATGACAGACAAACTTGCTGGATGAAGAATGTAATCGGCTCAATTTTCGCGTCACACGCCGTTGTCAACAATCAACAGAGAGCTATTTTTAGCCCAGTCAACAGCACGCTGGTCAGCTGGTCAGACTGACCACATCTGTTTTATCAGCTTGAGCTGGAGCTGCAGAAATCATGGGCGTAGACTTGGTGGGCGCCGACACTGGTATACAGGTCGTGTGTGTAGCGGGAAGATATGCCACGCACCTACACCGAATGTCTCTAGTACCAAGATGTTTTTTTGTACTTTGTTGTTAACTGTCATGGTAGACGTGATTTCATCCAAAACAATCAAATACTTGTCAACTTGGTATGCCAAGAATAAACTACAATGCATCAGTTATTTGATTTTGGAGTTGTCTCGCCTAGATGGGTTGCTGTCCCCAGCTATCGAGTTGTCTCGCCTAGATCTGTTGCTGTCCCCAGCTATCGAGTAGTCTCTCCTAGATGGGTTGCTGTCCCCAGCTATCGAGTTGTCTCTCCTAGTTGGTTGGTGCCCCCAGTTATCGAGTTGTCTCTCCTAGATGGGTTGCTGTCCCCAGCTATCGAGTTGTCTCTCCTAGATGGGTTGCTGTCCCCAGCTATCGAGTTGTCTCTCCTAGATGGTTGGTGCCCCCAGTTATCGAGTTGTCTCTCCTAGATGGGTTGCTGTTTCCAGCTATCGAGTTGTCTCTCCTAGATTGGTTGATGTTCCCAGCTATCGAGTTGTCTCTCCTAGATGGGTTGCTGTCCCCAGCTATCGAGTAGTCTCTCCTAGATGGGTTGCTGTCCCCAGCTATCGAGTTGTCTCTCCTAGATGGGTTGCTGTCCCCAGCTATTGAGTTGTCTCTCCTAGATGGGTTGCTGTCCCCAGCTATTGAGTTGTCTCTCCTAGATTGGTTGATGTTCCCAGTTATCGAGTTGTCTCTCCTAGATGGGTTGCTGTCCCCAGCTATCGAGTTGTCTCTCCTAGATGGGTTGCTGTTTCCAGCTATCGAGTTGTCTCTCCTAGATTGGTTGATGTTCCCAGCTATCGAGTTGTCTCTCCTAGATGGGTTGCTGTCCCCAGCTATCGAGTTGTCTCTCCTAGATGGGTTGCTGTCCCCAGCTATCGAGTTGTCTCTCCTAGATGGGTTGCTGTCCCCAGCTATCGAGTTGTCTCGCCTAGATGGGTTGCTGTCCCCAGCTATCGAGTTGTCTCTCCTAGATGGGTTGCTGTCCCCAGCTATCGAGTAGTCTCTCCTAGATGGGTTGCTGTCCCCAGCTATCAAGTTGTCTCTCCTAGATGGGTTGCTGTCCCCAGCTATCGAGTTGTCTCTCCTAGATGGGTTGCTGTCCCCAGCTATCGAGTTGTCTCTCCTAGATGGTTGGTGCCCCCAGTTATCGAGTTGTCTTTCCTAGATGGGTTGCTGTCCCCAGCTATCGAGTTGTCTCTCCTAGATGGGTTGCTCTCCCCAGCTATCGAGTTGTCTCTCCTAGATGGGTTGCTGTCCCCAGCTATCGAGTTGTCTCTCCTAGATGGGTTGCTGTCCCCAGCTATTGAATTGTCTCTCCTAGATTGGTTGATGTTCCCAGCTATCGAGTTGTCTCTCCTAGATGGGTTGCTGTTTCCAGCTATCGAGTTGTCTCTCCTAGATTGGTTGATGTTCCCAGCTATCGAGTTGTCTCTCCTAGATGGGTTGCTGTCCCCAGCTATCGAGTAGTCTCTCCTAGATGGGTTGCTGTCCCCAGCTATCGAGTTGTCTCTCCTAGATGGGTTGCTGTCCCCAGCTATTGAGTTGTCTCTCCTAGATGGGTTGCTGTCCCCAGCTATCGAGTTGTCTCGCCTAGATGGGTTGCTGTTCCCAGCTATCGAGTTGTCTCTCCTAGATGGGTTGCTGTCCCCAGCTATCGAGTAGTCTCTCCTAGATGGGTTGCTGTCCCCAGCTATCAAGTTGTCTCTCCTAGATGGGTTGCTGTCCCCAGCTATCGAGTTGTCTCTCCTAGATGGGTTGCTGTCCCCAGCTATCGAGTTGTCTCTCCTAGATGGTTGGTGCCCCCAGTTATCGAGTTGTCTTTCCTAGATGGGTTGCTGTCCCCAGCTATCGAGTTGTCTCTCCTAGATGGGTTGCTCTCCCCAGCTATCGAGTTGTCTCTCCTAGATGGGTTGCTGTCCCCAGCTATCGAGTTGTCTCTCCTAGATGGGTTGCTGTCCCCAGCTATCGAGTTGCCTCTCCTAGATGGGTTGCTCTCCCCAGCTATCGAGTTGTCTCTCCTAGATGGGTTGCTGTCCCCAGCTATCGAGTTGTCTCTCCTAGATGGGTTGCTGTCCCCAGCTATCGAGTTGTCTCTCCTAGATGGGTTGCTGTCCCCAGCTATCGAGTAGTCTCTCCTAGATGGGTTGCTGTCCCCAGCTATCGAGTTGTCTCTCCTAGATGGGTTGCTGTCCCCAGTTATCGAGTTGCCTCTCCTAGATGGGTTGCTCTCCCCAGCTATCGAGTTGTCTCTCCTAGATGGGTTGCTGTCCCCAGCTATCGAGTTGTCTCTCCTAGATGGGTTGCTGTCCCCAGCTATCGAGTTGTCTCTCCTAGATTGGTTGCTGTCCCCAGTTATCGAGTTGTCTCTCCTAGATGGGTTGCTGTCCCCAGCTATTGAGTTGTCTCTCCTAGATTGGTTGATGTTCCCAGTTATCGAGTTGTCTCTCCTAGATGGGTTGCTGTCCCCAGCTATTGAGTTGTCTCTCCTAGATTGGTTGCTGTCCCCAGCTATCGAGTTGTCTCTCCTAGATGGGTTGCTGTCCCCAGCTATCGAGTAGTCTCTCCTAGATTGGTTGCTGTCCCCAGCTATCAAGTTGTCTCTCCTAGATGGGTTGCTGTCCCCAGCTATCGAGTTGTCTCTCCTAGATGGGTTGCTGTCCCCAGCTATCGAGTTGTCTCTCCTAGATGGTTGGTGCCCCCAGTTATCGAGTTGTCTTTCCTAGATGGGTTGCTGTCCCCAGCTATCGAGTTGTCTCTCCTAGATGGGTTGCTGTCCCCAGCTATCGAGTTGTCT